CTGCTACTCACCACAGCTGTGTCCCTAAACAGAGCTCCCCTTTAAGAGAAGTACTGCTACTCACCACAGCTGTGTCCCTGACCAGAGCTCCCCTTTAAGAAGAGAAGTACTGCTACTCACCACAGCTGTGTCCCTGACCAGAGCTCCCCTTTAAGAAGAGAAGTACTACTACTCACCACAGCTGTGTCCCTGACCAGAGCTCCCCTTTAAGAGAAGTACTACTCCTCACCACAGCTGTGTCCCTGACCAGAGCTCCCGTTTAAGAAGAGAAGTACTGCTACTCACCACAGCTGTGTCCCTGACCAGAGCTCCCCTTTAAGAAGTACTGCTACTCACCACAGCTGTGTCCCTGACCAGAGCTCCCCTTTAAGAAGAGAAGTACTGCTCCTCACCACAGCTGTATCCCTGACCAGAGCTCCCCTTTAAGAAGTACTGCTACTCACCACAGCTGTGTCCCTGACCAGAGCTCCCCTTTAAGAGAAGTTATGCTACTCACCACAGCTGTGTCCCTGACCAGAGCTCCCCTTTAAGAAGAGAAGTACTGCTACTCACCACAGCTGTGTCCCTGACCAGAGCTCCCCTTTAAAAAGAGAAGTACTACTACTCACCACAGCTGTGTCCCTGACCAGAGCTCCCCTTTAAGAAGAGAAGTACTACTACTCACCACAGCTGTGTCCCTGACCAGAGCTCCCCTTTAAGAAGTACTGCTACTCACCACAGCTGTGTCCCTGACCAGAGCTCCCCTTTAAGAAGAGAAGTACTGCTCCTCACCACAGCTGTGTCCCTGACCAGAGCTCCCCTTTAAGAAGAGAAGTACTACTACTCACCACAGCTGTGTCCCTGACCAGAGCTCCCCTTTAAGATAAGTTATGCTACTCACCACAGCTGTGTCCCTGACCAGAGCTCCCCTTTAAGAAGAGAAGTACTGCTCCTCACCACAGCTGTGTCCCTGACCAGAGCTCCCCTTTAAGAGAAGTACTACTACTCACCACAGCTGTGTCCCTGACCAGAGCTCCCCTTTAAGAAGAGAAGTGCTGCTCCTCACGACAGCTGTGTCCCTGACCAGAGCTCCCCTTTAGGAAGTACTGCTACTGGGAGCCTGTCAGCTTGTGACATGATCAGAGACAGTGAGAGAGGGCCTACCTGTAAGATATTCTGTGAATAGTGCTATAAACGCACTTCTATTTCAAGAGGTTTTTGACCATTCAGGGACCTAATCTCAAACACTCATGAAAACATGAACAAAATAATTTGAATTTGGTCATAAAGATGTTATTTGATAAGGCATTAGCATGAAAATAAAGGTGTTTTAAAATGTGACATTTTGGAGAGATTTGTGGACCCTAGGGGACACCTTGTTATGGATAAATATTTATAAAGATTGATTGGTATAAAATATCAGATCAATTTTTGGGGCACATGTTGACAAGATGTTGGGGAATTACTTGAGGGTGAATATTGACCACCTGAGCATCTCTGAATAGTCACCTTCGTGTACAGCTCAATAAACACACTAGGTATTTTGTTATATGTCAGTCTTCTGTGATGTACCGTATATAAAGAGTATTACTGGGATGGAATACATTTAAACTATATCTGACATGGTACAGGTGCCTTATTTTTTAAAGTCCATAATCGTGTGTGAGGTGTATACTTTTGTTTCAAAGTAGATTTGTTTAAGACTACACCGAGAATCACTCTGTCTGACCTTGTTTTAGTGTCAGTCTATTTAGATATGAATCTGTTTTAGTGTCTATTTAGATATTAATCTGTTTTAGTGTCTATTTAGATATGAATCTGTTTTAGTGTCTATTTAGATATTAATCTGTTTTAGTGTCTATTTAGATATTAATCTGTTTTAGTGTCTATTTAGATATTAATCTGTTTTAGTGTCTATTTAGATATTAATCTGTTTTAGTGTCTATTTAGATATTAATCTGTTTTAGTGTCTATTTAGATATTAATCTGTTTTAGTGTCTATTTAGATATGAATCTGTTTTAGTGTCTATTTAGATATGAATCTGTTTTAGTGTCTATTTAGGTATGAATCTATTTTAGTGTCTATTTAGATATGAATCTGTTTTAGTGTCTATTTAGATATGAATCTGTTTTAGTGTCTATTTAGATATGAATCTGTTTTAGTGTCTATTTAGATATGAATCTGTTTTAGTGTCTATTTAGATATTAATCTGTTTTAGTGTCTATTTAGATATTAATCTGTTTTAGTGTCTATTTAGATATTAATCTGTTTTAGTGTCTATTTAGATATTAATCTGTTTTAGTGTCTATTTAGATATTAATCTGTTTTAGTGTCTATTTAGATATGAATCTGTTTTAGTGTCTATTTAGATATGAATCTGTTTTAGTGTCTATTTAGATATGAATCTGTTTTAGTGTCTATTTAGATATGAATCTGTTTTAGTGTCTATTTAGATATTAATCTGTTTTAGTGTCTATTTAGATATGAATCTGTTTTAGTGTCTATTTAGGTATGAATCTATTTTAGTGTCTATTTAGATATGAATCTGTTTTAGTGTCTATTTAGATATGAATCTGTTTTAGTGTCTATTTAGATATTAATCTGTTTTAGTGTCTATTTAGATATTAATCTGTTTTAGTGTCTATTTAGATATTAATCTGTTTTAGTGTCTATTTAGATATTAATCTGTTTTAGTGTCTATTTAGATATTAATCTGTTTTAGTGTCTATTTAGATATGAATCTGTTTTAGTGTCTATTTAGATATGAATCTGTTTTAGTGTCTATTTAGATATGAATCTGTTTTAGTGTCTATTTAGATATGAATCTGTTTTAGTGTCTATTTAGATATGAATCTGTTTTAGTGTCTATTTAGATATTAATCTGTTTTAGTGTCTATTTAGATATTAATCTGTTTTAGTGTCTATTTAGATATTAATCTGTTTTAGTGTCTATTTAGATATTAATCTGTTTTAGTGTCTATTTAGATATGAATCTGTTTTAGTGTCTATTTAGATATGAATCTGTTTTAGTGTCTATTTAGATATGAATCTGTTTTAGTGTCTATTTAGATATGAATCTGTTTTAGTGTCTATTTAGATATTAATCTGTTTTAGTGTCTATTTAGATATGAATCTGTTTTAGTGTCTATTTAGGTATGAATCTATTTTAGTGTCTATTTAGATATGAATCTGTTTTAGTGTCTATTTAGATATGAATCTGTTTTAGTGTCTATTTAGATATTAATCTGTTTTAGTGTCTATTTAGATATTAATCTGTTTTAGTGTCTATTTAGATATTAATCTGTTTTAGTGTCTATTTAGATATTAATCTGTTTTAGTGTCTATTTAGATATTAATCTGTTTTAGTGTCTATTTAGATATGAATCTGTTTTAGTGTCTATTTAGATATGAATCTGTTTTAGTGTCTATTTAGATATGAATCTGTTTTAGTGTCTATTTAGATATGAATCTGTTTTAGTGTCTATTTAGATATGAATCTGTTTTAGTGTCTATTTAGATATTAATCTGTTTTAGTGTCTATTTAGATATGAATCTGTTTTAGTGTCTATTTAGATATGAATCTGTTTTAGTGTCTATTTAGATATGAATCTGTTTTAGTGTCTATTTAGATATTAATATGTTTTAGTGTCTATTTAGATATGAATCTGTTGTATTGTCTATTTAGATATTAATCTGTTTTAGTGTGTATCTAGATATTAATCTGTTTTAGTGTCTATTTCAGGGTTCCTTAACTGGTGGTTTTTTTGGCCCCACAAGATTTCTGAGCATAAATGACTGTAAAAAAAACACCAGGAAATCAGCTCCAAGTGATTTTAATTTAGAAAATCTGTTCCCAAGTTTCCCGCATAATAAAGTGATTGTATACAAATAATAATAATAATTGATTTGATTTATATAGCTCCTTTCTACCCAGGTACTCAAGGTGCTTTAGATAGAAGGGGGAAACTCACCTCATCCACCACCAATATGTAGCTGTCACGACTTCCTCCGAAGCTGCCTCCCCTCCTTGTTCAGGCTTCGGCGTTCGTCGTCACCGGCCTTCTAGCCACTGCCGCTCCATATCTCACCATTTGTCTTGTCTTGTCAATTACACACACCTGGTTCATATTCCCCTCATTAGTACGTGTTTAAGTGTTCCCTCTGGGTGATTGTTCATTGTGAGGAGTGTGTAGCTTGGTTGAGCTCAGTATTTTGTATTGCCGGGGTATTTTTCCCTGTGTGCATGTTTGTTCCAGTTTGCCTGTTTTGCGCTATGGACTGGTTACGCTGGATTACGGAATAAACTCTGTATTCTGTGATTTACCCTCCTGCGCCTGACTCCTTCAAATCACGCATCACAGAATCATCCACCAACTATGGAGTCAGCAGGAGAGGAGCGCATGCCTGGAGTCGTGGCATGGGTCCAGGAGCATTCAACAATGCTAGCCAGCTTGGGAGAAGCGATGGATCGGGTTCTCCAGGTCGTCCAATGCCTGGAGAGGAGAGGACCTAATCTGTCGAGACCAGCTGGGCATCCGGGTCCACCCACATATATCCCGACCACGGGAGTTCGACGGGACAGCTGCTCTCTGCCAGGGATTCCTCCTCCAACTGGAGCTCTACCTCTCTAGCATCAGGCCGGCCCCATGGGAGCGGGAGAAGGTGTACTCCCTCGTCTCCTGCCTCTCGGGGAAAGCCCTGGAATGGGCCAACGTGGTCTGGAACGAAGGAGGAGCCGCGTTGGAGAACTACGGGGAGTTCGCTAGCCTCTTTCGGACTGTCTTCGATCACCCGCCCGAAGGCAGAGGACGAGGACTGCGCAGGACTTGGCCTTTGAGTTTCGGACTCTAGCAGCTGGATCCTGGTGGAACGAGCGGGCCATTAACGACCACTGCCGGTGCCAACTGCGGAAGGACGTCCGAAGGGAGTGATATAAATTAGGCTCACAATACATCAGCTATCAGGCAGTAGAGCGAGTTAGGATGGTATACTGCTATAGGAGAGATAGGATGGTATACTGTTATAGGCTGTATAGAGAGATAGGATGGTATACTGTTATAGGAGAGATAGGATGGTATACTGTTATAGGCTGTATAGAGATAGGATGGTATACTGTTATAGGAGAGATAGGATGGTATACTGTTATAGGCTGTATAGAGATAGGATGGTATACTTTTATAGGAGAGATAGGATGGTATACTGTTATAGGCTGTATAGAGATAGGATGGTATACTTTTATAGGAGAGATAGGATGGTATACTGTTATAGGCTGTATAGAGATAGGATGGTATACTGCTATAGGAGAGATAGGATGGTATACTGCTATAGGAGAGATAGGATGGTATACTGCTATAGGCTGTAGAGAGATAGGATGGTATACTGCTATAGGAGAGATAGGATGGTATACTGTTATAGGCTGTAGAGAGATAGGATGGTATACTGTTATAGGCTGTAGAGAGAGATAGGATGGTATACTGTTATAGGAGAGATAGGATGGTATACTGCTATAGGAGGGATAGGATGGTATACTGCTATAGGAGAGATAGGATGGTATACTGCTATAGGAGAGATAGGATGGTATACTGTTATAGGAGAGATAGGATGGTATACTGCTATAGGAGAGATAGGATGGTATACTGCTATAGGAGAGATAGGATGGTATACTGCTATAGGAGAGATAGGATGGTATACTGCTATAGGCTGTAGAGAGATAGGATGGTATACTGATATAGGAGAGATAGGATGGTATACTGTTATAGGCTGTAGAGAGATAGGATGGTATACTGTTATAGGCTGTAGAGAGAGATAGAATGGTATACTGTTATAGGAGAGATAGGATGGTATACTGCTATAGGAGAGATAGGATGGTATACTGCTATAGGAGAGATAGGATGGTATACTGCTATAGGAGAGATAGGATGGTATACTGTTATAGGAGAGATAGGATGGTATACTGCTATAGGAGAGATAGGATGGTATACTGTTATAGGCTGTAGAGAGAAATAGGATGGTATAGTGTTATAGGAGAGATAGTATGGTATACTGTTATAGGCTGTAGAGAGATAGGATGGTATACTGTTATAGGCTGTAGAGAGAGATAGGATGGTATACTGTTATAGGCTGTATAGAGATATAGAATGGTATACTGTTATAGGAGAGATAGGATGGTATACTGTTATAGGCTGTAGAGAGATAGGATGGTATACTGTTATAGGCTGTAGAGAGAGATAGGATTGTATACTGTTATAGGCTGTATAGAGATATAGAATGGTATACTGTTATAGGAGAGATAGGATGGTATACTGTTATAGGCTGTAGAGAGATAGAATGGTATACTGTTATAGGAGAGATAGGATGGTATACTGTTATAGGCTGTATAGAGATAGGCTTGTATACTGTTATAGGAGAGATAGGATGGTATACTGTTATAGGCTGTAGAGAGAGATACGATGGTATACTGTAATAGGCTGTAGAGAGATAGGATGGTATACTGCTATAGGAGAGATAGGATGGCATACTGTTATAGGCTGTATAGAGAGATAGGATGGTATACTGTTATAGGAGAGATAGGATGGCATACTGTTATAGGCTGTAGAGAGAGATAGGATGGCATACTGTTATAGGCGGTGGTTCTCTGTAGCTCAGCTGGTAGAGCACGGCGCTTGTAACGCCAAGGTAGTGGGTTCGATCCCCGGGACCACCCATACACATGCTAAATGGCATATTATTATTATTATTATAGGCTGTAGAGAGAGATAGGATTGTATACTGTTATAGGCTGTATAGAGATATAGAATGGTATACTGTTATAGGAGAGATAGGATGGTATACTGTTATAGGCTGTAGAGAGATAGAATGGTATACTGTTATAGGAGAGATAGGATGGTATACTGTTATAGGCTGTATAGAGATAGGCTTGTATACTGTTATAGGAGAGATAGGATGGTATACTGTTATAGGCTGTAGAGAGAGATAGGATGGTATACTGTAATAGGCTGTAGAGAGATAGGATGGTATACTGCTATAGGAGAGATAGGATGTCATACTGTTGTAGGGTGTATAGAAAGATAGGATGGTATACTGTTATAGGAGAGATAGGATGGCATACTGTTATAGGCTGTAGAGAGAGATAGGATGGCATACTGTTATAGGCGGTGGTTCTCTGTAGCTCAGCTGGTAGAGCACGGCGCTTGTAACGCCAAGGTAGTGGGTTCGATCCCCGGGACCACCCATACACATGCTAAATGGCATATTATTATTATTATTATAGGCTGTAGAGAGAGATAGGATGGTATACTGTTATAGGCTGTATAGAGAGATAGGATGGTATACTGCTATAGGAGAGATAGGATGGCATACTGTTATAGGCTGTATAGAGAGATAGGATTGTATACTGTTATAGGCTGTAGAGAGAGATAGTATGGTATACTGTTATAGGAGAGATAGGATGGTTTACTGTTATAGGCTGTATAGAGATAGGATGGTATACTGCTATAGGAGAGATAGGATGGTATACTGTTATAGGCTGTAGAGAGAGATAGGATGGTATACTGCTATAGGCTGTAGAGAGAAATAGGATGGTATACTGTTATAGGAGAGATAGGATGGCATACTGTTATAGGCTGTAGAGAGAAATAGGATGGTATACTGTTATAGGCTGTAGAGAGAGATAGGATGGTATACTGTTATAGGAGAGATAGGATGGTATACTGTTATAGGCTTGTAGAGAGAGATAGGATGGTATACTGCTATAGGCTGTAGAGAGAGATAGGATGGTATACTGTTATAGAAGAGATAGGATGGCATACTGTTATAGGCTGTAGAGAGATAGGATGGTATACTGTTATAGGAGAGATAGGATGGTATACTGTTATAGGCTGTAGAGAGAAATAGGATGGTATACTGTTATAGGCTGTAGAGAGAGATAGGATGGTATACTGTTATAGGAGAGATAGGATGGTATACTGTTATAGGCTGTAGAGAGAGATAGGATGGTATACTGCTATAGGCTGTAGAGAGAGATAGGATGGTATACTGTTATAGAAGAGATAGGATGGCATACTGTTATAGGCTGTAGAGAGATAGGATGGTATACTGTTATAGGAGAGATAGGATGGTATACTGTTATAGGCTGTAGAGAGAGATAGGATGGTATACTGTTATAGGAGAGATAGGATGGCATACTGTTATAGGGGAGATAGACAATCCAATCCCTCCTCTCAATTCATTTCTAATTCACATTCAGAAACGGTTCAGGACAAAATAATGAAAATATTCAAAAAGCCCCAAACTAATTTATCTGTGACTTCATGTGATTTAGAATATACTCATTAGTATTTTCCCATGGGAATGACAGCGACTCTGCCTCTGGTTCTGTGTGGTGAGATTACACCTTAAACCGCTGAGTATAGGAAACACACACACTCAGACACACGGAAGTGTTAATTGTGAGGGGAGTAGTAATCATTAAGAGATTATTGCCTGTTCTAGGCTGTGAATCATGTGTGTGTGTGTGTGTGTGTGTGTGTGTGTGTGTGTGTGTGTGTGTGTGTGTGTGTGTGTGTGTGTCTGTTTGTGTCAGACAACACATAAAATTGAACCTTATATTTAGATATATAAAATATATTATACATATATTTTATATTATAATATTATTGCAAGTCAGAAAAAAACAAGAGGTGGGTTTAAGAGGTGATTTCTCTGAAGACCTTAAAGCTGAAATGAGAAGGTATAAAGAAGTTCAAATAATCTACAGAAGAAGAAGAAGAAGAAGAAGAAGAAGAAGAAGAAGAAGAAGAAGGAGGAGGAGGAGGAGGAGGAGGAGGAGGAGGAGGAGGAGGAGAAGGAGGAGGAGAAGAAGGAGAAGAAGAAGAGGGTGGTTGCTGAGAAAAAGGGCACCAACCATGAAGAGGAGAAGAGAGGAGCTCTGGGCTTTAATGGCCAGAAGAAAAGGATGTGACAGGAAGCGTCATAGAGAGGAAGATGTATATAACAGAGGGGAGAGAGGAGGATGTATATAACAGAGGGAAGAGAGGAGGATGTATATAACAGAGGGGAGAGAGGAGGATGTATATAACAGAGGGGAGAGAGGAGGATGTATATAACAGAGGGAACAGAGGAGGGTGTATATAACAGAGGGACAGGGAGGATGTATATAACCGAGGAAGAGACGGCGGATGTATATAACAGAGGGGAAGGGGGAGGAGGAAAAAGGGGGGGAAAGGGGATGTTTAACGGGGAAGAGGAGGTGTTATAACAGAGGGAAGAGGGGGGAAATTTTGTAAAACAGAGGGAAGGGAGAGAAACGAGGAGAAAGGTTGTATAAAAAGGGGGAAAGAGGAGGAGTATAAAAAGGGGGGGGAAGGGGAGGGGGGTGTATAAAAACAAAAGGGGAGAGGAGGAGGGGGGAAAACAGGGGGGAGAGAGGAGGAGTTATAAGGGGGGAGGGGGAGAGAGGAGGATGTATATAACAGAGGGGAGAAGGAGGAGAAAACAGGGGGAGAGGGAGGAGAAAAAAGAGGGGGGGAGGGAGGTTTTGGGAAACAGAAAAAGGGGGGTTTTGGGGGGGAGAGGAGGATGTATATAACAGAGGGGGAGAGGAGGATGTAAAACAGAGGGGAGAGAGGGGGGGGGAGGGGATTATTAACAGGGGGAGAGAGGAGGATGTATAAAACAGAGGGGAGAGAGGAGGAGTAATAACAGGGGGGAGAGAGGGGGAAATTTTATTTAAAACGGGGGGGAGAGGGGAGGATTGAAAAAGAGGGAGAGGGAGGGGAGAAGAGGAAGGGAAAAAGGACAGAAGGAGTTTTTAAAAGGAAAAGAGAGCGGAAGGGGGGAAGAGAGAGAGAAGGGAAATGGGGGGGAGAGAGGGGGAGGGGGAGGGAGGGGAGGAGAGAGAGAGGAGAGGGAGAGAGAGAAAAAGAAAAAACGGAAAAAAAAAGGGAGGAGAAAAAAAAAAAAAAAAAACGGGGGGGGGCAAAAAGGGGCGAAAAAAAAAAGAGGGAGGGGGGGGGAAAAAAAAGAGAGAAAAAAAAAAAAGGAAAAGGGGGGAAACTAGAAGAAGAGGGGGAGAGAGGGGGAGGAGGGGGAAAAAAAAAAATTTTTTTAAAAAAAACCCCCTTCCCCCTTCTTCTCTCTCTTCTTTTTTCCTCTCTCTCTCTCCTTTTCCCCCCCTTTTCTCTCTCTCCTCAGGCATATGTCGTTAAGCATGTTGTTTCGTTCCGGAGGCAAGTGTTTATGTTTCTGAACAACAATGAGCAACAGTTAAATGTGCATTTTAAAGTGAGGCATGGGGAGGGGCTCTACACAGGGTTTCTCAGCACAGATAGTCTGCGTTGTTTTGAGTGTGTGGATTTGGGGCATAAGAGCTTTGCGTGCCCACATAAAGACCGTAGACAAGGTGAGGGTTCAAGCACCAGTGGGGGAAATAGAGGTCAACGTGCAGGAGGCCATGAGACGCAGGCAGCAGAGGCTGGGCCTAGTCATGCTATAGATGGTGGTGTAGATGAGGCTGGGCCCAGTCATGCTATAGATGGTGGTGTAGATGAGGCTGGGTCTAGTCATGCTATAGATGGTGGTGTAGATGAGGCTGGGTCTAGTCATGCTATAGATGGTGGTGTAGATAAGGCTGGGTCTAGTCATGTTATAGATGGTGGTGTAGATGAGGCTGGGTCTAATGCTATAGATGGTGGTGTAGATGGGGCTGGGTCTAGTCATGCTATAGATGGTGGTGTAGATGGGGCTGGGTCTAATGCTATAGATGGTGGTGTAGATGAGGCTGGGTCTAATGCTATAGATGGTGGTGTAGATGAGGCTGGGTCTAGTCATGCTATAGATGGTGGTGCAGATGGGGCTGGGTCTAGTCATGCTGTAGATGGTTGTGTAGATGAGGCTGGGTCTAGTCATGCTATAGATGGTGGTGTAGATGAGGCTGGGCCTAGTCATGCTATAGATGGTGGTGTAGATGAGGCTGGGCCTAGTCATGCTATAGATGGTGGTGTAGATGAGGCTGGGTCTAGTCAGGTTATGCCAGTGGATGAGGAGAGTGTAGTGGGGAAGGGTAAGTGACTAGGGGGGGTGGAGGAGGGTGTCAAGCGGAAGAGGAAAAAGGGGGAGAAGAAAGGAGGTGGGAGGGGAGAGGCTGGTGTGGTGAAAGGCTCCAAGGAACCTTTGTCTGGTGCTGGGGGGGAGGCCCCGACTAGAGAGGAAGAGCAGGTGGTCAGGATGGGAGATGGAGATGAGGAGGAGGAAGGTTAGTCTGAGGAAGAGGACGATGAGAAGGATTTCTTTTCAGACACCTCCTCAATGGATCCAGAGCTGACAGCCAGTCAGTCAGAGGGGTCAAAGTACATGGTGAGGGAACTGTCAAGGTTCCTGAATGAAGCTAAAGGGAAGTTTGCGATCCGGGGAAGTTTGTAAGATCAGTACAACACGCTATGAAAAATGAGGGGTATGGGGTACGTTGAGGAAGTGGGTCACAGCTGTGCGTAAGGGTCTACTACACTGTAATAATTGAACTGGACTTCTTTTGCGTGTTACGTGTGTGCGTTGGGGTTGCTGATGAGCTGTCGTCGGGCGGCTCTGACTCTCCTTCCCAAAAAAGGGGACTTGTGTGAACTTAAGAACTGGAGGCCTGTGGCATTGCTCTGTGCAGACTACAAGATATTTGCCAAGGTCCTCGCTGACAGACTGAAGTCCCATCTGGACTCTATAGTACACAAGGACCAGACATTGTGTACCGAGACGCTCAATCACGGACAACTTGTTCTTAATCAGGGACATGTTGGACTTCTAATGTGAACTTTGGACTGGTCTCTTTAGATCAAGAGAAGGCTTTTGATAGATTGGACCATGAGTATATGTTTGAAAAATGCATGCACTCACTAACTGTAAGTCGCTCTGGATAAGAGCGTCTGCTTAATGACTAAAAATTTTAAAATGTATATGTTTAATGTGATGTCTGTGTTTGGGTTTGGGGAAAGGTTTTTGGCCTGTGTGAAGATGTTGTATGCTGGGGCGTCATGTATGGTCAAGGTGGGAGGGGGGCTCAGTAGGCCAGTCTGGGGGAGGCGGGGAATTAGACAAGGATGCCCTCTATCAGGGCAGTTATACACTAGCCATTGAGCCTTTTTTGGGCCTGCTACGCAGGAGACTGCAGGGAGTCTGCTGGACAGGCACGGGTGTGTTGACAGTCAAAGCAGTGTCGGCGTATGCAGATTACGTTTCTGTGATGGTCAGGGATGGGCAGGATATGCAGGCGCTAGAGACTAGTCTGAAGGTGTACGAGGGAGTTTAGTCAAAATGATAAACAGTGTGGAGATGTTTCAGGAGATATGGTGTGTCGGGGGGCTGTCTGTACAGTTGGGGAAGATGGATTGGATGTACGGTTGTAGAAGTGGTAAGGTTATTGTGATGTGTGGTGTTGTTTTTGTATCGTGGGGTAGAGGGCAAGGTGAGTATGCAGTACAGGGGATATTTAGTTTTTAAAGGGGGGGGGGGGGGGGGGGGGGGGTGGTGAGGGTTTAATGAAATTAAATGAGGATGTATCATTAAAGAAAGACAAAAGTCAAAGTCTCTCTCTCTCCTCTCCTCTCCTCTCTCTCTCTCTCTCTGTCTCTCTCGGTCTCTCTCGGTCTCTCTCTGTCTCTCTCTGTCTCTCTCTGCCTCTCTCCCTCTCGCACTCACTCATCTGTCCTTCTCTCTCTCTCTCTCTCTCTCTCTCTCTCTCTCTCTCTCTCTCTGTCTCTCTCTCTTTCCCTCTCTCACTCACTCATCTGTCCATCTCTCTCTCTCCCTCTCTCTTCTTCCCTCACTCACTGATCTGTCCATCTCTTTGTGTCTCTCTCTCTCTCGATCTGTCTGTATTTCAGCAGATGTGGTGGTGAAGGGTATATGTTTACTTTGTGTGTGTGTGTGATTTTTGAATGACTACCTCATCTCTGTACCCCACACATACAATTATCTCTAAGGTCCCTCAGTTGAGAAATGAATTTTGAACACAGATTCAACCACAAAGACCAGGGAGGTTTTCCAATGCCTTGCAAAGAAGGGCACCTATTGGTAGATGGGTACAAATAAAAAAAAAGCAGATATTGAATATCCCTTTGGGCATGGTGAAGTTATTAATTATACTTTGGATGGTGTATCAATACACCCAGTAACTACAAAGATACAGGCGTCCTTCCTAACTCCGTTGCCGGAGAGGAAGGAAACCGCTCAGGGATTTCACCATGAGGTGACTTTAAAACAGTTACAGAGTTTAATGGCTGTGATAGGAGAAAACTGAGGATGGATCAACAACATTGTACTTACTCCACAATACTAACCTAATTGACAGAGTGAAAAGAAGGAAGCCTGTGCAGAAATAAAATATTCCAAAACATGCATCATGTTTGCAACAAGGCACTAAAGTAAAACTGCAAGAAATACGTCAAAGAAATTAACTTTTTGTCCTTGTCACGATCTGACCTATAGAACTCTTGTTTGTTGAGTCAGGGTGTGGAAATCTAGGTTGTATATTCTATGTTTAGGTTCTAGTTAGTCTATTTCTATGTCTGGCCGGGTGTGATTCCCAATCAGAGGCAGCTGTCTATCGTTGTCTCTGATTGGGGATCATCCTTAGGTAGCCCATTGCCTACTGTGTAATGTGGGATGTTGTTCCTGTTAGTCTGGTGTGTGTATAGCCCGTTGGACTTCACGTTACGTTGTTTTCTTGTTTTGTTGTATGTTTATTGAGGTAATAAACATGTACGCTTTTCACGCCGCACCCTGGTCCGACCCGTCTCTCAACGTTCGTGACAGTCCTGAATAGAAAGTGTTATGTTTTGGGGCAAATCCAATACAACACATCACTGAGTAAAACTCCTCATATTTTCAAGCATGGTGGTGGCTGCATCGTGTTATGGGTATGCTTGTCATCGGCAAGTACTAGGGAGTTTTGTTGTATAAAAATAAATGGAATAGAGCTAAGCACAGACAAAATCCTGGTTCAGTCTGCTTTCCAACAGACAATGGGAGAGAAATTCACCTATCAGCAGCACAATAACCTTAAACACAAGGCCAAATACACACTGGAGTTGGTTACCAAGACTACATTGAATGTTCCTGAGTGGCTAGTTACAGTTTTGACTTAAATCAGCTTGAAAATATATGGCAAGACTTGGAAATGGCTGTCTAGCAATGATCAACAACCAACTTGACAGAGCTTTAAGAATTTCTAAAATAAAAAATGTGAAATAATGTACAATCTAGGTGTGCAAAGCTCTTAGAGACTTACCCAGAAAGACTCACAGCTGTAATCGCTGCCAAAGGTGATTCTAACATGTATTGACTCAGGGATGTGAATACTTCTGTATTTCATTTTCAAACATGTTTCACTTTGACATTATGGGGTATTGTGTGTGGATGGGTGAGAGAAAAAACTATTGAATCCATTTTGATTTCAGGCAACAAAATGAGGAATAAGTAAATGGCTATGAATACTTGCTGAAGGCATTGTAACCCAGCTGGTGCTGGTCCGTATCTCTTTCTAAAACAGGGGAACCGTAACCTTGCTCACAGCATCAGGGGTGTATTCACTAGAAACCAAACAGAAAGCAAAAAAAAAGCCCTCTGCAACTACATCTGCTCAGGGTGCAACAGTGCCCTCTACGGACAGATACCGGATACACAGGACAAGACACATACCAGATACACAGGACAAGAAACACCTTATTGCATGGCCTAGTTCTATTAGATGGCCTAGTTCTATTAGATGGCCTAGTTCAATTGGATGGCCTAGTTCTATTAGATGGCCTAGTTCTATTAGATGGCCTAGTTCTATTAGATGGCCTAGTTCTATTAGATGGCCTAGTTCTATTAGATGGCCTAGTTCTATTAGACGGCCTAGTTCTATTGGATGGCCTAGTTCTATTGGATGGCCTAGTTCTGTTAGATGGCCTAGTTCTATTAGATGGCCTAGTTCAATTGGATGGCCTAGTTCTATTAGATGGCCTAGTTCTATTAGATGGCCTAGTTCTATTAGATGGCCTAGTTCAATTGGATGGCCTAGTTCTATTAGATGGCCTAGTTCTATTAGATGGCCTAGTTCTATTGGATGGCCTAGTTCTATTAGATGGCCTAGTTCTATTAGATGGCCTAGTTCAATTGGATGGCCTAGTTCTATTAGATGGCCTAGTTCTATTAGATGGCCTAGTTCAATTGGATGGCCTAGTTCTATTAGATGGCCTAGTTCTATTAGATGGCCTAGTTCTATTGGATGGCCTAGTTCTATTAGATGGCCTAGTTCTATTAGATGGCCTAGTTCTATTAGATGGCCTAGTTCTATTAGATGGCCTAGTTCTATTAGATGGCCTAGTTCTATTAGATGGCCTAGTTCTATTAGATGGCCTAGTTCTATTAGATGGCCTAGTTCTATTAGATGGCCTAGTTCTATTGGATGGCCTAGTTCTATTAGATGGCCTAGTTCTATTAGATGGCCTAGTTCTAATAGATGGCCTAGTTCTATTAGATGGCCTAGTCCTATTAGATGGCATAGTTCTATTAGATGGCCTAGTTCAATTAGATGGCCTAGTTCTATTAGATGGCCTAGTTCTATTAGATGGCCTAGTTCAATTAGATGGCCTAGTTCTATTAGATGGCCTAGTTCTATTAGATGGCCTAGTTCTATTAGATGGCCTAGTTCTAATAGATGGCCTAGTTCTATTGGATGGCCTAGTTCTATTAGATGGCCTAGTTCTATTAGATGGCCTAGTTCTATTAGATGGCCTAGTTCTATTAGATGGCCTAGTTCTAATAGATGGCCTAGTTCTATTGGATGGCCTAGTTCTATTAGATGGCCTAGTTCTATTAGATGGCCTAGTTCTAATAGATGGCCTAGTTCTATTAGATGGCCTAGTTCTATTAGATGGCCTAGTTCTATTAGATGGCCTAGTTCTAATAGATGGCCTAGTTCTATTGGATGGCGTAGTTCTATTAGATGGCCTAGTTCTATTAGATGGCCTATTTCTATTAGATGGCCTAGTTCTGTTAGATGGCCTAGTTCTATTAGATGGCCTAGTTCTATTAGATGGCCTAGTTCTATTAGATGGCCTAGTTCTATTAGACGGCCTAGTTCTATTAGATGGCCTAGTTCTGTTAGATGGCCTAGTTCTATTAGATGGCCTAGTTCTATTAGACGGCCTAGTTCTATTGGATGGCCTAGTTCTATTGGATGGTCTAGTTCTGTTAGATGGCCTAGTTCTATTAGATGGCCTAGTTCTATTAGATGGCCTAGTTCTATTAGATGGCCTAGTTCTATTAGATGGCCTAGTTCTATTAGATGGCCTAGTTCGATTAGATGGCCTAGTTCTATTAGATGGCCTAGTTCTATTAGATGGCCTAGTTCTATTAGACGGCCTAGTTCTATTAGATGGCCTAGTTCTATTAGATGGCCTAGTTCTATTGGATGGCCTAGTTCTATTAGATGGCCTAGTTCTATTGGATGGCCTAGTTCTATTAGATGGCCTAGTTCTATTGGATGGCCTAGATCTATTGGATGGCCTAGTTCTATTAGATGGCCTAGTTCTATTAGATGGCCTAGTTCTATTAGATGGCCTAGTTCTATTGGATGGCCTAGTTCTATTAGATGGCCTAGTTCTATTAGATGGCCTAGTTCAATTGGATGGCCTAGTTCTATTAGATGGCCTAGTTCTATTAGATGGCCTAGTTCAATTGGATGGCCTAGTTCTATTAGATGGCCTAGTTCTATTAGATGGCCTAGTTCTATTGGATGGCCTAGTTCTATTAGATGGCCTAGTTCTATTAGACGGCCTAGTTCTATTGGATGGCCTAGTTCTATTGGATGGCCTAGTTCTGTTAGATGGCCTAGTTCTATTAGATGGCCTAGTTCTATTAGATGGCCTAGTTCTATTAGATGGCCTAGTTCTATTAGATGGCCTAGTTCTATTAGATGGCCTAGTTCGATTAGATGGCCTAGTTCTATTAGATGGCCTAGTTCTATTAGATGGCCTAGTTCTGTTAGATGGCCTAGTTCTGTTAGATGGCCTAGTTCTATTAGATGGCCTAGTTCTATTGGATGGCCTATTTCTATTAGATGGCCTAGTTCTAATAGATGGCCTAGTTCTATTGGATGGCCTAGTTCTATTAGACGGCCTAGTTCTATTAGATGGCCTAGTTCTATTAGATGGCCTAGTTCTATTAGATGGCCTAGTTCTGTTAGATGGCCTAGTTCTATTAGATGGCCTAGTTCTATTAGATGGCCTAGTTCTATTAGATGGCCTAGTTCTGTTAGATGGCCTAGTTCTATTAGATGGCCTAGTTCTATTAGAAGGCCTAGTTCTATTAGATGGCCTAGTTCTGTTAGATGGCCTAGTTCTATTAGATGGCCTAGTTCTATTGGATGGCCTAGTTCTATTAGATGGCCTAGTTCTATTAGATGGCCTAGTTCTATTAGATGGCCTAGTTCTATTGGATGGCCTAGTTCTATTGGATGGCCTAGTTCTATTAGATGGCCTAGTTCTATTAGATGGCCTAGTTCTATTAGATGGCCTAGTTCTATTGGATGGCCTAGTTCTATTAGATGGCCTAGTTCTATTGGATGGCCTAGTTATATTGGAGGGCCTAGTTCTATTGGATGGCCTAGTTCTATTGGAGGGCCTAATTCTATGGGATGGCCTAGTTCTATTGGAGGGCCTAGTTATATTGGATGGCCTAGTTCTATTAGATGGCCAAGTTTTATTAAATGGCCTAGTTCTATTAGATGGCCTAGTTCTATTAGATGGTCTAGTTCTATTGGATGGCCTAGTTCTATTAGATGGCCTAGTTATATTGGAGGGCCTAGTTCTATTGGATGGCCTAGTTCTATTAGATGGCTTAGTTCTGTTAGATGGCCTAGTTCTATTAGATGGCCTAGTTCTATTAGATGGCCTAGTTCTATTAGTTGGCCTAGTTCTATTAGATGGCCTAGTTCTATTAGATGGCCTAGTTCTATTAGATGGCCTAGTTCTATTAGATGGCCTAGTTCTATTAGATGGCCTAGTTCTATTAGATGGCCGAGTTCTATTAAATGGCCTAGTTCTATTAGATGGCCTAGTTCTATTAGATGGCCTAGTTCTATTAGATGGCCTAGTTCTATTAGATGGCCTAGTTCTGTTAGATGGCCTAGTTCTGTTAGATGGCCTAGTTCTATTAGATGGCCTAGTTCTATTGGATGGCCTATTTCTATTAGATGGCCTAGTTCTAATAGATGGCCTAGTTCTATTGGATGGCCTAGTTCTATTAGACGGCCTAGTTCTATTAGATGGCCTAGTTCTATTAGATGGCCTAGTTCTATTAGATGGCCTAGTTCTGTTAGATGGCCTAGTTCTATTAGATGGCCTAGTTCTATTAGATGGCCTAGTTCTATTAGATGGCCTAGTTCTGTTAGATGGCCTAGTTCTATTAGATGGCCTAGTTCTATTAGAAGGCCTAGTTCTATTAGATGGCCTAGTTCTGTTAGATGGCCTAGTTCTATTGGATGGCCTAGTTCTGTTAGATTGCCTAGTTCTATTAGATGGCCTAGTTCTATTGGATGGCCTAGATCTATTGGATGGCCTAGTTCTATTAGATGGCCTAGTTCTATTGGATGGCCTAGTTCTATTAGACGGCCTAGTTCTATTAGATGGCCTAGTTCTATTAGATGGCCTAGTTCTATTAGATGGCCTAGTTCTGTTAGATGGCCTAGTTCTATTGGATGGCCTAGTTCTATTAGACGGCCTAGTTCTATTAGATGGCCTAGTTCTATTAGATGGCCTAGTTCTATTAGATGGCCTAGTTCTATTAGATGGCCTAGTTCTATTAGATGGCCTAGTTCTATTAGATGGCCTAGTTCTATTAGATGGCCTAGTTCTGTTAGATGGCCTAGTTCTGTTAGATGGCCTAGTTCTATTAGATGGCCTAGTTCTATTAGATGGCCTAGTTCTATTAGATGGCCTAGTTCTATTGGATGGCCTAGATCTATTAGATGGCCTAGTTCTATTAGATGGCCTAGTTCTATTAGATGGCCTAGTTCTATTAGATGGCCAGGTTCCCTTGGAGAGTTCATCAATGAGCTCGACGCCTTGATAAGTTCCTTTCCTGAGGATGGCTCACCCCTCACAGTTCTGGGGGATTTCAACCTCCCTACGTCTACATTTGACTCATTTCTCTCAGCCTCCTTCTTTCCACTCCTCTCCTCTTTTGACCTCACCCTCTCACCTTCCCCCCCTACTCACAAGGCAGGCAATACTCTTGACCTCATCTTTACTAGATGCTGTTCTTCTACTAATCTCACTGCAACTCCCCTCCAAGTCTCCGACCACTACTTTGTATCCTTTTCTCTCTCGCTCTCCTCCAACACTACTCACTCTGCCCCTACACAAATGGTAATGTGCCGTCGCAACCTTCGCTCTCTCTCTCTCCCGCTACTCTCTCCTCTTCCGTCCTATCATCTCTTCCCTCTGCTAAATCCTTCTCCCTCCGATCTCCTGATTCTGCCTCCTCAACCCTCCTCTCCTCACTTTCTGCATCTTTTGACTCTCTATGTCCCCTATCCTCCCGGCCGGCTCAGTCCTCCCCTCCTGCTCCGTGGCTTGACGACTCATTGCGAGCTCACAGAAGAGGGCTCCGGGCAGCCGAGCAGAAATGAAGGAAAACTAGACTCCCTGCGGACCTGTCATCTTTTCACTCCCTCCTCTCTACATTCTCTTCCTCTGTTTCCGCTGCTAAAGCCACTTTCTACCACTCTAAATTTCAAGCCTCTGCCTCTAACCCTAGGAAGCTCTTTGCCACCTTCTCCTCCCTGCTGAATCATCCTCCTCTCCCTCCCTCCTCCCTCTCTGTGGATGACTTCGTCAACCATTTTGAAAAGAAGGTTAACGACATCCGATCCTCATTTATTAAGTCAAATGACACCGCTGGTCCTGCTCACACTGCCCTACCCTATGCTTTGACTTCTTTCTCCCCTCTCTCTCCAGATGAAATCTTGTGACTTGTGATGGCCAGCCGCCCAACAACCTGCCCACTTGACCCTATCCCCTCCTCTCTTCTCCAGACCATTTCCGGAGACCTTCTCCCTTACCTCACCTCGCTCATCAACTCATCCTTGACCGCTGGCCATGTCCCTTCCGTCTTCAAGAGAGCGAGAGTTGCACCCCTCCTCAAAAAACCTACTCTCGATCCCTCCGATGTCAACAACTACAGACCAGTATCCCATCTTTCTTTTTTCTCCAAAACTCTTGAGCGTGCCATCTCTAGCCAACTCTCCCGCTTTCTCTCTCAGAATGACCTTCTTCATCCAAACCAGTCAGGTTTCAAGACTGGTCATTCAACTGAGACTTATCTTCTATGTGTCACGGAGGCTCTCCGCACTGCTAAAGCTAACTCTCTCTTCTCTGCTCTTATCCTTCTAGACCTATCCGCTGCCCTTGATACTGTGAACCATCAGATCCTCCTCTCCACCCTCTCTGAGTTGGGCATCTCCGGCGCTGCTCACTCTTGGATTGCGTCCTACCTGACAGGTCGCTCCTACCAGGTGGCGTGGCGAGAATCTGTCTCTGCACTATGTGCTCTCACCACTGGTGTCCCCCAGGGCTCAGTTCTAGGCCCTCTCCTATTCTCTCTATACACCAAGTCACTTGGCTCTGTCATATCCTCACATGGCCTCTCCTATCATTGCTACGCAGACGACACACAATTAATTTTCTCCTTTCCCCCTTCTGATAATCAGGTGGTAAATCGCATCTCTGCATGTCTGGCAGACATATCAGTGTGGATGTCAGATCACCACCTCAAGCTGAACCTCGGCAAGACGGAGCTGCTCTTCCTCCCGGGGAAGCACTGCCCGCTCCATGATCTCGCCATCACGGTTGACAACTCCATTGTGTCCTCCTCCCAGAGTGCAAAGAACCTCGGCGTGACCCTGGAAAACACCCTGTCATTCTCCGCTAACATCAAAGCGGTGACCCGATCCTGTAGGTTCATGCTCTACAACATTCGGAGAGTACGACCCTACCGTACACAGAAAGCGGCACAGGTCCTAATCCAGGCACTTGTCATCTCCCGTCTGGATTACTGCAACTCGCTGTTGGCTGGGCTCCCTGCCTGTGCCATTAAACCACTGCAACTTATCCAGAACGCTGCAGCCCGTCTGGTGTTCGACCTTCCCAAGTTCTCTCATGTCACCCCGCTCCTTCACACACTCCACTGGCTTCCAGTTGAGGCTGGCATCTACTACAAGACCATGGTGCTTGCCTACGGAGCTGTGAGGGGAACGGCACCTCCTTACCTTCAGGCTCTGATCAGACCCTACACCCAAACGAGGGCACTACATTCATCCACCTCTGGCCTGCTAGCTCCCCTACCTCTACGGAAGCACAGTTCCCGCTCAGCCCAGTCAAAGCTATTCGCTGCTCTGGCACCCCAATGGTGGAACAAGCTCCCCCACGACGCCAGGACAGAAGAGTCACTGACCACCTTCCGGAGACACTTGAAACCCCACCTCTTTAAGGAATACCTGGAATAGTATAAAGTAATCCTTCTCCCCCCCCCCCCCCCCCCCCCCCCATAAAAATAAAAATAAAAGTGGTTGTCCCACTGGCTATCATAAGTTGAATGCACCAATTTGTAAGTCGCTCTGGATCAGACGTTTTTGCTAAATGCTTGTGCTTCTAGTTCCAACAGTGCAGTAATATCTAGCAGTTCCACGACAAATATCTAATACACGCAAATCTAAGTAAAGGAATGTAATAGGAATATATAAATATATGGATGAGCAATGTCATTATCAGAGTGGCATAGGCTAAGATGCAATAGATAGTATAGAATACAGTAAATACATATGAGATGGGTAATGCAAGATATGTCAACATTATTAAAGTGGCATTATTAAAGTGACTAGTGTTCCATTTATTAAAGTGGCCAGTGATTTTCAAGTCTGTATGTAGGCAGCAGCCTCTCTGTGCTAGTGATGACTGTTTAACAGTCTGATGGCCTTGAGATAGAAGCTGTTTTTCAGTCTCTCGATCCCAGCTTTGATGTACCTGTACTGACCTCTCCTTCTGGATGATAGCGGGGTGAACAGGCAGGTGGTAGTTGTCCTTGATTATCTTTTTGGCCATCCTGTGACATCGGGTGCTGTAGGTGTCCTGGAGGGCAGGTAGTTTGTCCCCGGTGATGTGTTGTGCAGACCGCACCACCCTCTGGAGAGCCCTGCGGTTGCGGGCGGTGCCGTTGCCGTACCAGGTGGTGATACAGCCCGACAGGATGCTCTCAATTGCGCATCTGTAAAAGTTTGTGAGGGTTTTGGGGGCTAAGCCAAATTTCTTCAGCCTCCTGAGGTTGAGGAGACGCTGTTGCGCCTTCTTCACCACACTGTCTGTGTGGGTGAACCATTTAAGTTTGTCATTGATATGTACGCAGAGGAACTTAAAACTTTCCACCTTCTCCACTGCTGTCCCGTCGATGTGGATAGGGGGGTGCTCCCTCTGCTGTTTCCTGAAGTCCACGAGCATCTCCTTTGTTTTGTTGACGTTGAGGGAGAGGTTATTTTCCTGACACCACACTCCGAGAGCCCTCACCTCCTCCCCGTAGGCTGTCTCATCGTTGTTGGTAATCAAGCCTACTACTGTTGTGTTGTTTGCAAACTTGATGATTGAGTTGGAGGTGTACATTGGTGAACAGGGAGTACAGGAGGGGGCTGAGCACGCACCCTTGTGGGGCCCCTGTGTTGAGGATCAGGGAAGTGGAGATATTGTTTCCTACCTTCACCACCTGGGGGCGGCCCGTCAGGAAGTCCAGGACCCAGTTGCACAGGGCGGGGTTCAGACCCAGGGCCTCGAGCTTAATGATGAGCTTGGAGGGTACTATGGTGTTGAAGGCTGAGCTATAGTCAATGAACAACATTCTTACATAGGTATTCCTCTTGTCCAGATGGGTTAGGGCAGTGTGCAGTGTGATGGCGATTGCATCGTCTGTGGATCTATTGGGGCGGTAAGCAAATTGAAGTGGGTCTAGGGCGACAGGTAAGGTAGAGGTGATATGATCCTTGACTAGTCTCTCAAAGCACTTCATGATGACAGAGGTGAGTGCTATGGGGCGATAGTCATTTAGTTCAGTTACCTTTGCATTCTTGGGTACAGGAACAATGGTGGCCATCTTGAAGCATGTGGGGACAGCAGACTGGGATAGGGAGAGATTGAATATGTCCGTAAACACACCAGCCAGCTGGTCTGCGCATGCTCTGAGGACGCGGCTAGGAATGCCGTCTGGGCCGGCAGCCTTGCGAGGGTTAACACGTTTAAATGTCTTACTCACATCGGCCACGGAGAAGGAGAGCCACAATTATTGGTAGCAGGCCGCGTCGGTGGCACTGTGTTATCCTCAAAGCAGGCAAATAACTTGTTTAGCTTGTCTGGCAGCAAGATGTTGATGACCGCGACGTGGATGGTTTTCCTACTGTAGTCCGTGATTTTCTGTTAACCACATAAACTACAGTACAAATTTTTTGTCCATTAAAATAACATTAAATTGATCAGAAATACAGTTGTAGATATTGTTAATGTTGTAAATAGCTATTGTAGCTGGAAACGGCTGATTTTGTAATGGAATATCTACATAGGCGTACAGAGGCCCATTATCAGCAACCATCAGTCCTGTGTTCCAATGGCACGTTGTGTTTGCTAATCCAAGTTTATCATTTTAAAAGGCTAAATGATCATTAGAAAACCCTTTTGCAATTATGTTAGCACAGCTGAAAACTGTTGTGCTGATTAAAGAAGCAATAAAACTGGCCTTCTATAGACTAGTTGAGTATCTGGAGCATCAGCAATTGTGGGTTCGATCACAGGCTCAAAACGGCCAGAAACAAATAACTTTCTTCTGAAACTCGTCAGTCTATTCTTGTTCTGAGAAATGAAGGCTATTCCATGCGAGAAATTGCCAAGAAACTGAAGATCTCGTACAACGCTGTGTACTACTCCCTTCACAGAACAGCGCAAACTGGCTCTAACCAGAATAGAAAGAGGAGTGGGAGGCCCCAGTGCACAACTGAGCAAGAGGACAAATACATTAGAGTGTCTAGTTTGAGAAACAGATGCCTCACAGGTCCTCAACTGGCAGCTTCATTAAATAGTACCCGCAAAACACCATTCTCAACGTCAACAGTGAAGAGGCGACTCCGGGATGCTGACCTTCTAGGCAGAGTTGCAAAGAAAAAGTAATATCTCAGACTGCCCGTCTTAATCTTTTCTTTTTATTGGCCAGTCTGAGATATGGCTACATGTTTTTCTTTTGATTACAAAAGTTTGTCTATAAAATTATCTGGCCTTTGAGTTATTATCCAGTTTGGATGTTGTTGCCCAGAACATGAGAGGAGATCAGCGTAAACGTGGCACAGAGGTCTAAGTCACTGCATCTCAGTGATAGAGGCGTCACTACAGACCCTGGTTCGATTCCAGGCTGTGTGACAATCCGGCCGTGATTGGGAGTCCCATAGGGCGGCGCACAATTGGCCGGGGTAGGCCGTCATTGTAAATAAGATTGTGTTCTTAACTGACTTGCCTGGTTAAATAAAAAAATCTGTGTAAAAGTACTATGATTTGTTTTAGGGACATTAATTTCTAAGCTTTTTCACTAAGCATTGACTAGGCATTCTGCACTTCCATCTTCAGTCTGCCATCTTTCCTCAGTCCTATTGAGTAGCATTTAGATAAATGAGCAGTAGTTCAATCAGATTTCAACCAAAAACCAGATATCAACCAAAATAAGACGTCATGTACAAGACGTCGTAATCTGGTTGTGATCTGATTATATGACGTCCAGACCAGATTTCAACCAGTAAAATACGTCTTTATCATGTCGAATGCCCACTAGGGTGTGGTTGTCACACCTAGCTACACTGCATGACCAAAATTATGTGGACACCTGCTCGTTGAACATCTCTTTCCAAAATAATGGGCATTAATATGGAGTTGGTCCCCCCTTTGCTGCTATAACAGCCTCCACTCTTCTGGGAAGGCTTTCCACTAGATGTTGGAACATTGCTGTGGGGACTTGCTTCCATTCAGCCATAAGAGCATTAGTGAGGTCGGGCACTGATGTTGGGCGATTAGGCCTGGCTCGCAGTCGGCGTTCCAATTAAGCCCAAAGGTGTTCGATGGGGTTGAGGTCAGGGCTCTGTGCAGGCCAGTCAAGTTCTTCCACACCGATCTCGACAAACCATTTCTGTATGGACCTCGCTTTGTGCACGGGGGCATTGTCATGCTGAAACAGGAAAGGGCCTTCCCCAAACTGTTGCCACAAAGTTGGAAGCACAGAATGTCATTGTATGCTGTAGCGTTAAGATTTCCCTTCACTGGAACTAAGGGGCCGAGCCCGAACCATGAAAAACAGCCTCAGACCATTATTCCTCCTCCACCAAACTTTACAGTCGGCACTATGCATTCGGGCAGGTGGCGTTCTCCTGGAATCGCCAAACCCAGATTAATCCGTCAGACTGCAAGATGGTGAAGCGTGATTCATCAACCCAGAGAGTGCGTTTCCACTGCTCCAGAGTCCAATGGAGGCGAGCTTTACACCACTCCAGTGAGTGTTGTAACCGAGGACAGACCCTTTTTTACTCACTATGCATTGTAAATGTAAAACCTAACAGCACCCATGCAGGGCCACATTTAGTAGGCAGACGTCGCAGAAATGTCATGAATGGAGTTGACAGGATTGCTTATTCCTACATGTCAGAGAGCGGGGTTCGCTGTACATGTATCTGGACCTACCCAACGTTGAGTCCTTCTAAACGGATGTTATTTGCATGTATACTGACACGCCCATTTCCCTGGTCGGCCCGCCCCCAGGTTCCGTCTCTCTCCTCCCAGCTGCACTGAGACGCGGACGTCATAGCATCCTGGTTTGTAGCAGTCTGGGAATCATCTGCTCATCGCAGCAAGCTTCCTCTCTCCCAGTTATAAACCAAAACCGCAACAGGTTCAGGACGATATCAGTGTTCTAGATGGGATTTAAGGAATAACGTCGTCAGGGGGGATTTGTCCTAAACTAGGAAGAGGATGAAACGAGCAGCCACGGAAGCTGCCGCTACCCTCCTTTGCAATGAACGGTAAGCGATGTGCAGGATGTGTGATCGAGGTAGAATATAGACAGGGTTTAAGACAGGGTTTAAAAGAAAACGGGGTTAAAGACAACATTGGTTTTTATGTCATATAGGCCTACATAGGATCGTTTGTCCCGGTCAGGTGTTTCTAAAATTCAAAACAGGTTATAATTTTGCTAATATTAGCCTATATTATAGGCTAATAATTGTCAACCTCTGTAGGCTATATTATATGCTGCTGCCTCCTCTCCAACATATAGTCTTCTGTCATATGGCAGATTATTCTCAGGCTGCAAAAAATCTGGTCTGCAATTCGACCCAGTAATGGTCCACTGCCACCACCGCTCCTCTGTACTGCAGATATATAGTTAGACTTCCCCAGGCGTGATTTATCATTTACCGTAACAATAGAACATCAGGACCCTGCGATGTCCCCTGAGGGTTAGCCCCTACTGTCAACAGAGAGCGAGGGGGGGATTTGATGGAAGAGAGAGAGAGTTCAGCCCTACTTCCCTGTAACTCCAGTATTAAGTGTAGATCCCCGTGTAACTCCAGTATTAAGTGTAGATCCCTGTGTAACTCCAGTATTAAGTGTAGATCCCTGTGTAACTCCAGTATTAATAATAATAAAATAATTGGTTATTTAGCAGACGCTCTTATCCAGAGCGACTTACAGGAGCAATTAGGGTTAAGTGCCTTGCTCAAGGGCACATCGACAGATTTTTCACCTAGTCGGCTTGGGGATTAGAACCAGCGACCTTTCGGTTACTGGCACAACGCTCTTAACCACTAAGCTACCTGCCGCCCTATATCTGCCGCCCTATATTAAGTGTAGATCCCTGTGTAACTCCAGTATTAAGTGTAGATCCCTGTGTAACTCCAGTATTAAGTGTAGATCCCTGTGTAACTCCAGTATTAAGTGTAGATCCCTGTGTAACTCCAGTATTAAGTGTAGATCCCTGTGTAACTCCAGTATTAAGTGTAGATCCCTGTGTAACTCCAGTATTAAGTGTAGATCCCTGTGTAACTCCAGTATTAAGTGTAGATCCCTGTGTAACTCCAGTATTAAGTGTAGATCCCTGTGTAACTCCAGTATTAAGTGTAGATCCCTGTGTAACTCCAGTATTAAGTCTAGATCCCTGTGTAACTCCAGTATTAAGTGTAGATCCCTGTGTAACTCCAGTATTAAGTGTAGATCCCTGTGTAACTCCAGTATTAAGTGTAGATCCCTGTGTAACTCCAGTATTAAGTCTAGATCCCTGTAACTCCAGTATTAAGTGTAGATCCCTGTAACTCCAGTATTAAGTGTAGATCCCTGTAACTCCAGTATTAAGTAGATCCCTGTAACTCCAGTATTAAGTGTAGATCCCTGTAACTCCAGTATTAAGTCTAGATCCCTGTGTAACTCCAGTATTAAGTGTAGATCCCTGTGTAACTTCCAGTATTAAGTGTAGATCCCCTGTAACTCCAGTATTAAGTGTAGATCCCTGGTAACTCAGTATTAAGTGTAGATCCCTGTGTAACTCCAGTATAAGTGTAGATCCCTGTGTAACTCCAGTATTAAGTGTAGATCCCTGTGTAACTCCAGTATTAAGTGTAGATCCCTGTGTAACTCCAGTATTAAGTGTAGATCCCTGTGTAACTCCAGTATTAAGTGTAGATCCCTGTGTAACTCCAGTATTAAGTGTAGATCCCTGTGTAACTCCAGTATTAAGTGTAGATCCCTGTGTACTCCAGTATTAAGTGTAGATCCCTGTGTAACTCCAGTATTAAGTGTAGATCCCTGTGTAACTCCAGTATTAAGTGTAGATCCCTGTGTAACTCCAGTATTAAGTGTAGATCCCTGTGTAACTCCAGTATTAAGTGTAGATCCCTGTGTAACTCCAGTATTAAGTGTAGATCCCTGTGTAACTCCAGTATTAAGTGTAGATCCCTGTGTAACTCCAGTATTAAGTGTAGATCCCTGTGTAACTCCAGTATTAAGTGTAGATCCCTGTGTAACTCCAGTATTAAGTGTAGATCCCTGTAACTCCAGTATTAAGTGTAGATCCCTGTGTAACTCCAGTATTAAGTGTAGATCCCTGTGTAACTCCAGTATTAAGTGTAGATCCCTGTAACTCCAGTATTAAGTGTAGATCCCTGTGTAACTCCAGTATTAAGTGTAGATCCCTGTGTAACTCCAGTATTAAGTGTAGATCCCTGTGTAACTCCAGTATTAAGTGTAGATCCCTGTAACTCCAGTATTAAGTGTAGATCCCTGTGTAACTCCAGTATTAAGTGTAGATCCCTGTAACTCCAGTATTAAGTGTAGATCCCTGTGTAACTCCAGTATTAAGTGTAGATCCCTGTGTAACTCCAGTATTAAGTGTAGATCCCTGTGTAACTCCAGTATTAAGTGTAGATCCCTGTAACTCCAGTATTAAGTGTAGATCCCTGTGTAACTCCAGTATTAAGTGTAGATCCCTGTGTAACTCCAGTATTAAGTGTAGATCCCTGTAACTCCAGTATTAAGTGTAGATCCCTGTGTAACTCCAGTATTAAGTGTAGATCCCTGTGTAACTCCAGTATTAAGTGTAGATCCCTGTAACTCCAGTATTAAGTGTAGATCCCTGTGTAACTCCAGTATTAAGTGTAGATCCCTGTAACTCCAGTATTAAGTGTAGATCCCTGTGTAACTCCAGTATTAAGTGTAGATCCCTGTGTAACTCCAGTATTAAGTGTAGATCCCTGTAACTCCAGTATTAAGTGTAGATCCCTGTGTAACTCCAGTATTAAGTGTAGATCCCTGTGTAACTCCAGTATTAAGTGTAGATCCCTGTGTAACTCCAGTATTAAGTGTAGATCCCTGTAACTCCAGTATTAAGTGTAGATCCCTGTGTAACTCCAGTATTAAGTGTAGATCCCTGTGTAACTCCAGTATTAAGTGTAGATCCCTGTGTAACTCCAGTATTAAGTGTAGATCCCTGTGTAACTCCAGTATTAAGTGTAGATCCCTGTGTAACTCAGTCATGTGGTCTATCTGGACCATCAGGTTAATATGTGAAAACATAGTGTATAGTAAAACATAGTGTATAGTAAAACATAGTGTATAGTAAAACATAGTATATAGTAAAACATAGTGTATAGTAAAACATAGTGTATAGTATAACATAGTGTATAGTAAAACATAGTGTATAGTAAAACATAGTATATAGTAAAACATAATGTATAGTAAAACATAGTGTATAGTAAAACATAGTGTATAGTAAAACATAGTATATAGTAAAACATAGTATATAGTAAAACATAGTGTATCTATATGACATCTAAGATGATATCTGGCTCCAGCTCAAGGCTCCAGAGAGAACGGCAGTGTAGGGAACCCATTCCAGAGTTGACCCAGAAAAGCGACCGGAGAGAGGAGAAGAGGTGCAGGATACATATTCCCATCTGTGCTATAGACCAGACGGCGGAAGGCGTGTGTGAGAGAGAGGTTTTGTGTGTGTGTGCCTATTCAGCTGTTCACCGGAGGATCACACACACACACACACACACACACACACACACACACACACACACACACACACACACACACACACACACACACAGAGGCCTCTTTCTACTCTGGCTCCGTGGTGCTTCCTGGGCTCTGTCTCTTAAGGCGTCAGTTAGCTTCCTAGCTTTGCTAGCCTAGCCGAACAGAACGAGTGTGGTCACATACTCCCTTAAAAGCCAAATCTCAGACTGGCCAATAAAAATAAAAGATTAAGATGGGCATTCTGAGGTATGGCTTTTTCTTTGCAACTCTGCCCAGAAGGTCAGCATCCCAGAGTCGTCTCTTCACTGTTGACGTTGAGACTGGTGTTTTGCGGGTACTATTTAATGAAGCTGCCAGTTGAGGACCTGTGAGGCATCTGTTTCTCAAACTAGACACTGTAATGTATTTGTCCTCTTGCTCAGTTGTGCACCGGGGCCTCCCACTCCTCTTTCTATTCTGGTTAGAGCCAGTTTGCGCTGTTCTGTGAAGGGAGTAGTACACAGCGTTGTACGAGATCTTCAGTTTCTTGGCAATTTCTCGCATGGAATAGCCTTCATTTCTCAGAACAAGAATAGACTGACGAGTTTCAGAAGAAAGTTCTTTGTTTCTGGACGTTTTGAGCCTGTGATCGAACCCACAATTGCTGATGCTCCAGATACTCAACTAGTCTCAGAAGGCCAGTTTTATTGCTTCTTTAATCAGCACAACAGTTTTTAGCTGTGCTAACATAATTGCAAAAGGGTTTTCTAATGATCATTTAGCCTTTTAAAATGATAAACTTGGATTAGCAAACACAACGTGCCATTGGAACACAGGACTGATGGTTGCTGATAATGGGCTTCTGTACACCTATGCTCTCTCCTCTCGCCTCTCGCCTCTCTCTTTCTCCTCTCCTCTCTCTCCTCTCTCGTCTCTTCTCTCCTCTCATATTCAAATTCAAATTTGGATTGCTTTAACGCCATTAAATACATTTTGTAGATATAGCCAAAGCAGTATAGTGGTCCAGCATTTCAGTAAATCCAATGCAATGAGGAGAAGGAAATCCAGTTCATTTCAGTAGTAATAATAATAGTACTTATGTGACCTACCGGCTCGATTCGGTCTTATGTAGCAACATTTGAAATTGTGTTTTTTACATTGGATAAAAGTAGAGACTCAGAGCTAGAAATTGGTATATCATACACTACAGTTGAGGAACAATGGGAAAATAATTCTGCTTTGAAAGTTGATAGACTTCTAACCTCACCTTTGAGAATAAGGAAGCTGATCCGCACCTAATTAGAATACGAGCTCCTCCTCCCAGGTGCACTGAGGCTAGGAAACACTGTCACCACCGATAAATCTACAATAATCGAGAATTTCAACAAGCATTTTGCTACGGCTGGCCATGCTCTCCACCTGGCTACCACTACCCCGGCCACCAGCTCTGCACCCTCCGCTGTAATTTGCCCATGCCCCCCCCCCCCCCCCGCTTCTCCTTCACACAAATTCAGACAGCTGATGTTCTGAGAGCTGCAAAATCTGGACCCCTACAAATCATTTGGGCTAGACAATCCGGACCCTTTCTTTCTAAAAATAGCCGCCGAAATTGTCGCAGTCCCTATTACTAGCCTGTTCAACCTCTCTTTCGTAACGTCTGAGATCCCCAGAGATTGGAAAGCTGCCGCGGTCATCCCCCTCTTCAAAGGGGGTGATACTCTAGATCCAAACTGTTACAGACCTATATCCATCCTACCCTGCCTTTCGAAAGTTTTTGAATGCCAAGTTAACAAACAGATCACCGACCATTTCGAATCCCACCGTACCTTCTCCGCTATGCAATCCGGTTTCCGAGCGGGTCATTGGTGCACTTCAGCCACGCTCAAGGTCCTAAACAATATTATAACCGCGACCGATAATAGACAGTACTGTGCAGCCGTTTTCATTGACCTGGCCAAGGCTTTCGACCGCATTCTTATTGGCAGACTAAATAGCCTTGGTTTCTGAAATGACTGCCTCGCCTGGTTCACCAACTACTTCTCAGATAGAGTTCAATGTGTCAAATCGGAGGGCCTGTTTTCTGGACCTCTGGCAGTCTCTATGGGGGTGCCACAGGGTTCAATTCTTGGGCCGACTCTTTTCTCTGTGTATATCAATGATGTCGCTCTTGCTGCTGGTGACTCTCAGATCCACCTCTACGCAGACGACACCATTTTGTATACATCTGGCCCTTCATTGGACACTGTGTTAACAAACCTCCAAACAAGCTTCAATGCCATACAACACTCCTTCCGTAGCCTCCAACTGCTCTTAAACACTAGTAAAACTAAATGCATGCTCTTCAACCGAACGCTGCTGGCACCCGCCCACCCGACTAGAATCACTACTCTCGACGGGTCTGACCTAGAGTATGTGGACAACTGCAAATACCTAGGTGTCTGGTTAGACTGTAAACTCTCCTTCCAGACTCACATTAAGCATCTCCAATCCAAAGTTAAATCTAGAATCTGCTTCCAATTTCGCAACAAAGCCTCCTTCACTCATGCTGCCAAAAATGCCCTCGTAAAACTGACTATCCTACCGATCCTTGACTTTGGCGATGTCATTTACAAAATAGCCTCCAACACTCTACTCAGCAAATTGGATGTAGTCTATCACAGTGCCATCCGTTTTGTCACCAAAGCCCCATATACTACCCACCACTGTGACCTGTACGCTCTTGTTGGCTGGTCCTCACTACATATTTGTCGCCAAACCCACTGGCTCCAGGCCATCTATAAATCACTGCTAGGCAAATCTCAGCCTTATCTTAGCTCATTGGTCACCATAGCAACACCCACCCGTAGTATGCGCTCCAGCAGGTATATCTTACTGGTCATCCCCAAAGCCAACACCTCCTTTGGCCGCCATTCCTTCAAGTTCTCTGCTGCCAATGACTGGAACGAACCGCAAAAATCTCTGAAGCTGGAGACTCTTATCTCCCTCACTAACTTTAAGCATCAGTTGTCAGAGCACCTTACCGATCACTGCACCTGTACACAGCCCATCTGTAATTAGCCCACCCAACTGCTCATTTGCACCCCAGTATCTCTATTTGCACATCATCTCTTGCACATCTATCATTCCAGTGTTAATACTAATTGTAATTAATTTGCACTATGGTCTATTAATTGCCTTACCTCCATAACTTGCTACATTTGCACACACTGTATATATATTTTCTGTTGTATTTTTGACTTTATGTTTTGTTTTACCCCATGTGTAACTCTGTGTTGTTGTTTTTATCGCACTGCTTTGCTTTATCTTGGCCAGGTCACAGTTGTAAATGAGAACTTGTTCTCAACTGGCTTCTTACCTGGTTAAATAAAGGTTAAATAAAATAAATAAATAAACAACAACAGCAGTCAAGCACCCAAGCTAACTGGCTAACAGTACACTTTAACTTTAAATGAAAACGACTTTCTAACTAAATTAGAAACGTGTAATATCAGAAAATGTAGCTAGCTAACCATTATCTCCTTCCTCTCCCTTCTCCTCTCCGTCGTCTCTCTTCTCGCTCTTCTCTTCAGATGTCTGTGAACAGAGGAGCTCCCTCTAGCCGTTAGTGCTCCCCACCTGCAGCTATGAATGGTAAGAACAATACTCCGTCTGTGTGTTTTCCAGTGCTGTTTCGCTAGGAGGGAGGGAGGGAGGGAGGGAGGGAGAGAGAGAGAGAGAGAGAGAGGGGGAGAGAGAGAGAGAGAGAGAGAGAGAGAGAGAGAGAGAGAGAGAGGTGATGATGTTGTTGTTGTTGTTGTTGTCCTTCCTAACCTGTTAGCAGAACAGTCAATATAGAGCGCTCTGTCGAGTCAGCTCTCTGCCTCAGTTTCTCTCTCTCTCTCTGCCTCAGTTCTCTCTCACACTGTCTGCCTCGGTTCACTCTCTGGCTGTGTCTCTGCTCTCCATCTCAGTCTCAGCTCTCTCTCTCTTTCAATTCAATTAAATTTGCTTTATTGGCATGACGTAACAATGTACATATTGCCAAAGCTTAATTTGGAGATTTACAATATGAACATAATTAATAATAATAATAATCAATATTGTAAACGGGACAACAGTAACAACAGTAACCAAGGGTCAAAATAACCATTGAACAATAACAATATAGAGGACATGTGCAGGTTGGTTGGTCTGTCAGACACTGTCCCTCATCTTATGGCAGGCAGCAATGTAGTGCTCTGCCAACCCACAGCTCTCTGAGGCCTCCCCCAACAGGACGGGTAGCCTATTCTCATCAGAGAGGTCTTTGAAACCTTAAAAACGGTTTCAAATTTGGGTAAATGACACTCTCTAATTGTTGTATATTTTTGACATTTTGTCAGGAAATGCAGCTCTGTCTCAGGTTCTGCTGTGGTGCAGTGGTTGCACAGCCTTTCCTCTACAGGGAGCCAGGTTTTCCTGTGTCTACCCTTCTCAATGCCAAGGCTGTGCTCACTGAGCCTGTACTTTGTCAAGGTTTTTCTAAGGTTTTGATCAGTCACCATGGTCAAATAGTTAGCCACGGTGTACTGTCGATTTAGGGCCAGATAGCACTGCATTTTACTTTGTGCTTGTGTTTCCCAATAAGCAATGTAGTTTTGACTGTGTTGTAATTTGGTTTATTCTGATTGATTGGATGTTCTGGTCCTGAGGCTTCAGTGTGTTAGTAGAACAGGTTTGTGAACTCAGCCCCAGGACCAGCTGGATGAGGGGACTCTTTTCTTTGCTCAGCTCTTGGCATTGCAGGGCTTGGTAATGATATGAGAAGGGGTCACTGTATTTTAGATGTTTCCAAAACTTAATTGGTATTTTTTGAGTTTTTATTATTAGTGGATATTGGCCTAATTCTGCCCTGCATGCATTGTTTGTAGTTTTCCTCTGGACATGTAGGAGAATCTTACAGAGCTCTGCATGCAGGGTTTCAATGGGGTGTTTTTCCCATTGGGTGAAATCTTGTTTTGCAAGTGGACCCCACACCTCGCTGCCATGAAGTGCAATTGGTTCAATGACACATTCAATTAGTTTTAGCCAACTTTTAATAGGTATTTCAATTTGAATTTGTTTTTTAATGGCGTAGAATGCCCTGCATGCTTTCTCACTCAGTTCATTCACTGCATCATAAAGGTGTCCAGTTGAGCTTATTTTTAAACCTAAGTAATTGTAGTGTGTGCAGTACTCTATATATGTTGTACCAATTGAGAACTTTGGTCTAATTCCCTGAGATCTGGATCTTCTCTGGAAAATCAATATTTGAGTCTTTTTTGGGGTTTACTGCCAGGGCCCAGGTCTGACAGTACTGCTCTAGCAGGTCCAGGCTCTGCTGTAGGCCATGTGCTGTGGGTGACAGCAGGCACAGGTCATCTGCCAAGAGCAGGCATTTAACCTCTGAATTGTGGAGACAAACACCAGGGGCTGGGGATTTTTCTAGAATAGTGGCCAATTCGTTGATGTAAATACTGAAGAGTGCAGGGCTCAGATTGCAACCCTGGCGAAGGCCCCGCCCCTGGTTAAAGAATTGTGTTATTTTCTTGCCAATTTTGATGCTGCACGTATTTAATTATGCTATATGTTTTACTGTCTCAGAGAGGAGAGGAGGGAAGGGAGTTAGGGAGGAGGGTGGAGTAGAGGAGAGGAGAGGAGAGGAGAGGAGAGGAGAGGAGAGGAGAGGAGAGGAGGGGAGAGGAGAGGAGAGGAGAGGGAGGAGAGGAGAGGAGAGGAGAGGAGAGGAGAGAGGACGAGGAGAGGAGAGGAGAGGAGAGGAGAGGAGAGGAGAGGAGAGGAGAGGAGAGGAGGGAAGGGAGTTAGGGAGGAGGGTGGAGGAGAGGAGAGGAGAGGAGAGGAGAGGAGAGGAGAAGAGAAGAGAAGAGAAGAGAAGAGCAAGAGAAGAGAAGAGAAAAGAAGGGAAGAGAAGAGAAGAGAGAAGAAGAGAAGGAAGAGGAAGAAGAGAAGAGAAGAGAAGAGAAGAAGAGAAGAGAAGAGAAGAGAAGAGAAGGAAGGAGAGGAGAGGAGAGGAGAGGGAGAGGAGAGGAGAGGAGAGGAGAGGAGAGGAGAGGAGAGGAGAGGAGAGGAGAGGAGAGGAGAGGAGAGGGAGAGGAGGAGGAGAGGAGAGGAGAGGAGAGGAGAGGAGAGGAGAGGAGAGGAGAGGAGAGGAGAGGAGAGAAGGGAGTTAGGGAGGAGGGTGGAGTAGAGGAGAGGAGAGGGGAGACTCCATAACTTCTCTGTTCCTCTCTTCTCTCTCACCTCTTTCATGGCCTGTCCTCTTCTTGTTCATCCATTCCATTTATCCAAAGCCTTAATTTAGGTCTCATAAGAGCTTCTCATTGGATGGTTCTGTGATGTGTATCCAATGAGCTCTCTGCCCTGAGGAGAACAGAACAGTTAAGAGGCTTTTTTCTCTACAGCTATTGCCTGGCTTAGTTGGGTAGAGCCCACGAATATGTAACTACATATGTAAATATGCTGAAAAAGAGATTTGGTAAAAAACTTTTTTTTTGCAAATGTATTAAGAATAAAAAACTAAAATACCTTATTTACATAAGTATTCAGACCCTTTGCTATGAGACTCGAAATTGAGCTCAGGTGCATCCTCTTTCCATTGATCATCCTTGAGATGTTTCTACAACTTGATTGGAGTCCAGCTGTGGTAAATTCAATTGAAGAAACAAAATTCTCTGGTCTGATGAAACCAAGACTGAACTCTTTGGCATGAATGCCAAGCTTCACGTCTGGAGGAAACCTGGCACCATCCCTATGGTGAAGCATGGTGGTGGCAGCATCATGCTGTGGGGATGTTTTTCAGCAGCAGGGACTGGGAGACTAGTCAGGATCGAGGGAAAGATGAACGGAGCAAAGTACAGAGAGATCATTGATGAAAACCTGCTCCAGAGCGCTCAGGACCTCAGACTGGGGCGAAGGTTCATCTTCCAACAGGACAACGACCCTAAGCACACAGCCAAGACAACGCAGGAGTGGCTTCGGGACAAGTCTCTGAATGTCCTTGAGTGGCCCAGCCAGAGCCCGGACTTGAACCTGATCAAACATCTCTGGAGAGACCTGAAAATATCTGTACAGCGACACTCCCCATCCAACCTGACAGAGCTTGAGAAGATCTGCAGTGAAGAATGGGAGAAACTCCCCAAATACAGGTGTGCCAAGCTTGTAGCATCATACCCAAGAACACTCGATGCTGTAATCACTGCCAATGGTGCTTCAACAAAATACTGAGTAAAGGGTCTGAATACTTATGTAAATGTGATTTTCCGTATTTATTTTATTAACAAAAAGTTCTTAACCTGTTTTTGCTTTGTCATCATGGGGTATTATGTGAAGATTGATGAGGGAAAAAAACAATTTAATCCATTTGATAATAAGGCTGTAACGTAACAAAGTGGAAAAAGTCAAGGGATCTGAATACTTTCCAAAGGCACTGTATATATATATATACATACATACACTCTACGTGACCGAAAGTATGTGGACACCTGCTCGTCGAACATCTCATTCCAAAATTATTTGCATTAATATGGAGTTGGTCCCCCCTTTGCTGCTATAACAGCCTCCACTCTTCTGGGAAGGCTTTCCACTAGATGTTGGAACATTGCTGCGGGGACTTGCTTCCATTCAGCCACAAGAGCATTAGTGAGGTCGGGCACTGATGTTGGGCGATTAGGCCTGGCTCGCAGTCGGCGTTCCAATTCATCCCAAAGGTGTTTGATGGGGTTGAGGTCAGGGCTTTGTGGAAGCCAGTCAAGTTCTACCACACCGATCTCAACAAACCATTTCTGTAAGGACCTCGCTTTGAGCACGGGGGCATTGTCATGCTGAAACAGGAAAGGGCCTTCCCCAAACTGTTGCCATAAAGTTGGAAGCACATAATCGTCTAGAATGTCATTGTATTCTGTAGCGTTAAGATTTCCCTTCACTGGAACTAAGGGGCCTAGCCCGAACCATGAAAAAAAGCCCCAGACCAATATTCCTCCTCCACCAAATTTTACAGTTGGCGCTATGCATTCGGGCAGGTTGCGTTCTCCTGGCATCGCCAAACCCAGATTCGTCCATCGGACTGCCAGATGATAAAGCGTGATTCATCAGTCCAGAGAACACGTATCCACTGATTTTCGAGCTTCCCTCAGCCATCTGCTGCCTTCTCCCTTACACTGACAATGGGTTGAATGCTGTAACCCTCAGCCATCTGCTGCCTTCTCCTGACACTGACAATGGGTTGAATGCTGTAACCCTCAGCCATCTGCTGCCTTCTCCCCTACACTGACAATGGGTTGAATGCTGTAACCCTCAGCCATCTGCTGCCTTCTCCATGACACTGACAATGGGTTGAATGCTGTAAGCCTCAGCCATCTGCTGCCTTCTCCCTGACACTGACAATGGGTTGAATGCTGTAACCCTCAGCCATCTGCTGCCTTCTCCTGACACTGACAATGGGTTGAATGCTGTAACCCTCAGCCATCTGCTGCCTTCTCCTGACACTGACAATGGGTTGAATGCTGTAACAGAAAAAAAGGATGAATAAGAGCCATGATTAATAAAAGTTCCATAATGGTGACTGCACAATACTGCTTATCACTCATTAACCATCATTTAATCACATTAGTTTAATAATACACTGCTCAAAAAAATAAAGGGAACACTTAAACAACACATCCTAGATCTGAATGAATGAAATAATCTTATTAAATACTTTTTTCTTTACATAGTTGAATGTGCTGACAACAAAATCACACACAAATTATCAATGGAAATCAAATTTATCAACCCATGGAGGTCTGGTTTTGGAGTCACCCTCAAAATTAAAGTGGAAAACCACACTACAGGCTGATCCAACTTTGATGTAATGTCCTTAAAACAAGTCAAAATGAGGCTCAGTAGTGTGTGTGGCCTCCATGTGCCTGTATGACCTCCCTACAACGCCTGGGCATGCTCCTGATGAGGTGGCGGATGGTCTCCTGAGGGATCTCCTCCCAGACCTGGACTAAAGCATCCGCCAACTCCTGGACAGTCTGTGGTGCAACGTGGCGTTGGTGGATGGAGCGAGACATGATGTCCCAGATGTGCTCAATTGGATTCAGGTCTGGGGAACGGGCGGACCATAGCATCAATGCCTTTCTCTTGCAGGAAGGAACCCAGGGCCAACCGCACCAGCATATGGTCTCACAAGGGGTCTGAGGATCTCATCTCAGTACCTAATGGCAGTCAGGATACCTCTGGCGAGCACATGGAGGGCTGTGCGGCCCCCCAAAGAAATGCCACCCCACACCATGACTGACCCACCGCCAAACCGGTCATGCTGGAGGATGTTGCAGGCAGCAGAACGTTCTCCACGGCGTCTCCAGACTCTGTCACTTCTGTCACATGTGCTCAGTGTGAACCTGCTTTCATCTGTGAAGAGTACAGGGCGCCAGTGGCGAATTTGCCAATCTTGATGTTCTCTGGCAAATGCCAAACGTCCTGCACGGTGTTGGGCTGTAAGCACATCCCCCACCTGTGGACGTCGGGTCCTCATACCACCCACATGGAGTCTGTTTCTGACCGTTTGAGCAGACACATGCACATTTGTGGCCTGCTGGAGGTCATTTTGCAGGGATCTGGCAGTGCTCCTCCTGCTCCTCCTTGCACAAAGGCGGAGGTAGCAGTCCTGCTGCTGGGTTGTTGCCCTCCTACGGCCTCCTCCACGTCTCCTGATTTACATTTACATTTACGTCATTTAGCAGACGCTCTTATCCAGAGCGACTTACAAATTGGTGCATTCACCTTATAGCCAGTTGGATAACCACTTTCCAATTGTTTTATTTATTTATTTATTTATTTATTTATTTTTTTGGGGGGGGGGGGGGTAGAAGGATTACTTTATCCTATCCCAGGTATTCCTTAAAGAGGTGGGGTTTCAAATGTCACCTGGCCTGTCACCTGGTAGCGCCTCCATGCTCTGGACACTACGCTGACAGACACAGCAAACCTTCTTGCCACAGCTCGCATTGATGTGCCATCCTGGATGAGCTGCACTACCTGAGCCACTTGTGTGGGTTGTAGACTCTGTCTCATGCTACCACTAGAGTGAAAGCACCGCCAGCATTCAAAAGTGACCAAAACATCAGCCAGGAAGCATAGGAACTGAGAAGTGGTCTGTGGTCACTACCTGCAGAACCACTTCTTTATTGGGGGTGTCTTGCTAATTGCCTATAATTTCCACCTGTTGTCTATTCTATTTGCACAACAGCATGTGACATTTATTGTCAATCAGTGTTGCTTCCTAAGTGGACAGTTTGATTTCACAGAAGTGTGATTGACTTGGAGTTACATTGTGTTGTTTAAGTGTTCCCTTTATTTTTTTGAGCAGTGTATATTTCATTCATGTGACTTAGTTTTTATTTGATTACTTTCCTTTCCTTGACGTCATCATCTCATCTCTGCTCAGACAGTAGCAGCCAGCCAGAAAACCATCTAACCTTATGTCTGTTTTCCCCATTATAGAGTAATCCTTTTTATCTTAAATCATTTGACTAGTTCTTCAAAGTACATAAGGCATACTTTCAATGCTGCTTATTACCAACTTCTACAACTATCGATGGAATCGAGCCACCTCACCAGCTGTCTCTGTCTCTCTCTTCTCTGTGTTGGTTTGATGGAGTAGAGCCACCTCACCAGCTGTCTCTGTCCTCTCTCTCTGTGTTGGTTTGATGGAGTAGAGCCACCTCACCAGCTGTCTCTGTCCCTCTCTCTGTGTTGGTTTGATGGAGTAGAGCCACCTCACCAGCTGTCTCTGTCCCCCTCTCTCTCTGTGTTGGTTTGATGGAGTAGAGCCACCTCACCAGCTGTCTCTGTCCCCCTCTCTCTCTGTGTTGGTTTGATGGAGTAGAGCCACCTCACCAGCTGTCTCTCTGTCTCTCTCTCTGTGTTGGGTTGATGGAGTTAGAGCCACCTCACAGCTGTCTCTTTCTTTCCTGCTCTGTGTTGGTTTGATGAGTAGAGCCACCTCACACCAGCTGTCTCCCTGTCCCTCTCCTCGCTGTGTTGGTTTGATGGAGTAGAGCAACCCTCACCAGCTGTCTCTTCCCTCTCTCTGTGTTGGTTTGATGGAGTAGAGCCACCCTCACCAGCTGTCCTCTGTCCCCCTCCTCTCTGTGTTTGGTTTTGATGGAGTAGAGCCGGGGACCTCCCCAGCTGTCTCTGTCCCTCTCTCTGTGTTTTGTTTTGTGGAGTAGAGCCACCTCACAGCTTCTCTGTCCCTCTCTCTGTGTTGGTTTGAGGAGTCGAGCCCCCTCACCAGCTGTCTCTGTCTCTCTCTGTGTTGTTGGATGGAGTCGAGCCACCTCACCAGCTGTCTCTGCTGTCTCTTCTCTCCTGTGGTTGGTTTGATGGAGTAGATCCACCTCACCAGCTGTCTCTGTCCCTCTTCTCTCCTCTGTGTTGTTTGATGGAGTAGAGCCACCTCACCAGCGTCTCTGTCTCCCTCTCTCTGGTTGGTTTGATGGAGTAGAGCACCTCACCAGGTCTCTGTCCCCCTCTCTCTCTGTGTTGGTTTGATGGAGTTGAGCCACCCTCACCAGCTGTCTCTTGTCTCTCTCGCCCTCTTCTGTGTTGGTTTTCCTGGTGAAAATTCTGAGCCACCTCACAGCTGTCTCTGTCTCTCGCTCTGTGTTGGTTTGATGGAGTAGAGCCGACTCACCACTGTCCTCTGTCCCTCTCTTCTCTCTGTGTTGGTTTGAATGGAGTAGAGCACCTCACCAGCTGTCCCTCTCTCTCCTCTCTCTGTGTTGGTTTGATGGATAGAGCCACCAACACCTCAACCAGCTTTCTCTGGTCCCCACTCTCTGTGTTGGTTGATGGAGTAAGAGCCCTCACCAGCCTGTCTCTGTCTCTCTCTGTGTTGGTTTGATTTAGTAAGAGCCACCTCACCAGCTGTCTCTGTCCCTCTCTCTCTGTGTTGGTTTGATGGAGTAGAGCCACCTCACCAGGGTCTCTGTCTCTCTCTGTATGTTGGTTTAGTGATGTAGTAGAGCCCACCCTCACCAGCTTCTCTGTCTCTCTCTCTGGTGCTGGTTTGATGAGTGAAAGAGCCACCCCCCTCACCAGCTGTCTCTGGGTCTCTCTCTGTGTTGGTTGGATGGAGTAGAGCCACCTCAGAACCAGCTTTCTCTCTCTCTTGCTCTGTCCCCCCACCCCCCTCGTCTCTCTTTGTTTTTTTTTTATATGGAGTCTCTCCAGCTTCACCCACCAGCTGTCTCTGTCTCTCTCTGTGTTGGTTTGAATGGGTTCGAGCCACCTCACCAACTGTCTCTGTCCCTCGCCTCTCTCTGTTTGGGTTGATGGTATAGCCACCTCACCAGGCTGTCTCTGTCTCTCTCTCTCTGTGTTGGTTTGATTGAGGATGAGCCACCTCACCAGCCTGTCTCTGTCTCTCTTCTCCTCTGGTTGGTTTGATGGATAGAGCCACCCTCAACCAGCTGTCTCTGTCCCCCTCTCTCGCAGTGTTGGTTTGATGGGTAGAGCCACCTCACCAGCGTCTCGGTCCCTCTCTCTCTCTGTGTTTGGTTTGATGGAGTAGAGACACCTCACCATCTGTCCCTCTGTCCCCCTCTCTCCTCTGTGTTGTTTGATGGAGTAGAGCCAACCTCACCAAGCTTCCCTCTGTCCCTCTCTCTCTATGTGTTGGTTTGAATGGAGTAGAGCCACCTCACCACTGTCTCTGTCCCTCTCGCTGTGTTGGTTTTGATGGAGTAGAGCCACCACCTCACCGATCTTTCTCTTCTCTGTCTCTCTCTCCTCTCTTTGTTTTGGTTTGATGGAGTAGATCCCACCTCACCGAGCTTTCTCTGTCCCTACTCTCTGTGTTGGTTGATGGAGTAGAGCCACCTCACCAGCGTTCCTCTGTCTCTCTCTCTCTCTGTGTTGGTTTTTGAATGGATTAGAGCACAACCTCACCAGCTGTCCTCTGTCTCTCATCTCTGTGTTGGTTTGATGGAGTAGAAAGGAGCCACCCTCACCAGCTGGTCTCCTTGTCTCTGTCCCCTCTCTCTGTTGGTTGGTTTGATGTAGTAGAACACAGCCCCCTCACACCATCTTTCCTTCCCTCTCCACATCTCTCCTCCCTCTCCTTGTTTTTGTTTTCTTATGGAGTAGAGCCAGCTCACCTCTGTCTCTGGTCGCTCTCTCTGTGTTGGTTTGATGGAGTAGAAAGCACCTCACCGCTGTCTCTGTACCTTCTCTTCTGTGTTGGTTGATGGTGTAGAGCCCCCCTCATACCAGCCTTCTCTGTCCCCCTCTCTCTCTGTGTTGGTTTGATGGATAGAGCCACCTCACCATCTGTCTCTGTCCCTCTCTCTGGGTTGGTTTGATGGAGTAGAGCCACCTCACAGCTGCCCCTTCTCTGTCCTCCCTCCTCTGCTTGGTCTGTGGTTTGATGGGTAGAGCCACCTCACCAGCTGTCTCTGTCTCTCTCTCTGTGTTGTTTTGATGGGTGTCAAGAGCCACCTCTCACCAGCTGTCCCCTGTCCCTCTCTCTCCTCCCCCCCCCTGTGTTGGTTGGATGGATGTAAAGCGGCCCACACGCACCAGCTGTCCTTGAAATCTCTGTCTCTCCATCCTCTCTGTGTTGGAGGGTGTGGGGGTGATGAGTAGAGCCACCCTCACCAGTCTGTCCTCTGTCCCCCTCTTCTCTCTGGGTGTGGTTTTGATGAGTAAGCCCCCACCAGCTGTCTCTGTCTCTCTCTCTCCTCTGTGTTGGTTGATGGAGTAGAGAGCCACCTCACCAGCTGTCTCTGTCCCTCTCTCTCTCTCTGTGTTGGTTTGATGGAGTAGAAGCCCACCTCACCATCTCATTCTCTGTCCCCTCTCTCTCTCTCCTGTTTGGTTTTGATGGAGTAGAGCCACCATCACCAGCTGTCTCTGTCTCTCTCCTCTCTCTTGGTTTGGTTTTGATGGGAGTAAGAGCCCACCCCTCAACCAGCTGTCTCTGTCTCTCTCTCTGTGTTGGTTTGATGGGAGTAGAGCCACTCATCCGTCTCATGTCACCAGCTGGTGGGCGTGGGGGGCCCTTGTGTCCTCTCTTCTGTGGTTGGTTTTGATGTAGGAGTAGAGCCACCTCACACCAGCTTGTCCTGTCCCTCTCTCTGTGGTTGGTTTTTTTTTTGATGGAGTAAAGCCAACCCTCAAACCCGCTTCTCTGTCTCTCTCTTCCTGCTTGCGCTGTCATCCGGTTTTCCCGAATGGGAGTAGAGAGCCACCTTCAAAACCAGCTGGTCTCGTCTCCTCAGGTACTGTCTCTCTCTGTGTTTGGTTTGATGGGGTAGAGCCACCTCACCAGCTGTCCTCGTCTCTCTCATCTCTCTGGTGGTTGGTTTGATGGAGTAGAGCCACCTCACCAGCTTCCCTCTGTCTCCTCTCTCTCCTCTGTGTTGGTTGGATGGAGTAGAGCCACCTCACCATCTGTCTCTGGTCCCCCTCTCTCTCTGTGTTGGTTTGCTGGATAGAGGGCCAACTCACAGCTGTCCTCCTGTCCCTCTCCTGTTTGGTTGATGGAGTATAAGCCACCGTTCACCAACTGTCTCTGTCCCCTCTCTCTCTGTGTTGGTTTGTGGAGTAAGAGCCACCAGCCTCACCAGCTGTCTCTGTCTCGCTCTCTCTCTGTGTTGGGTTATGATGGTTAGGAGCCACCTCACCAGCTGTCCTCTGGTCCTCTCTCTCTTGTGTTGGTTGATGGAGTAGCTCCACCTCACCAGCTGTCTCTTGGTCTCACTCTCTCTCAATCTGTGGACGTCCATCTGCTGTATGGGTTCCCTGGCGGTTGTGGGTTTTGATGGCGGTAGAGCCAACGCAACTCAAGGGCAACCAGCTGTCTCTGTCCCTCTCTCTCTCTGTGTTGGTTTGAATGGGTAGAGCACCTCACCAGCTGTCTCTGTCCCCTCTCTCTTCCTCTGTTGGTTTGATGGAGTAGAGCCACCCACCAGCTGATCTCTGTCTCTCTCTCTCTCTGTGTTGGTTTGATGGAGTATAGCCACCTCAACCAGCTTCTCTGTCCCCCCTCTCTCTCTGTTTGGTTTTGATGGGAGTAAGCCACCTCACCAGCTGGTCTCTTCTCTGTCGCTCTCTCTCTCTCTGTGTTTGGTTTGATGAAGTATAGGCCACCTCACCACAGCTTCTCTGTCCCTCTCTCTCTCTGTGTTGGTTTGATGGAGCTAGAGCCACCTCACCTACCAGCTTTCTCTGTCCTCTCCTCTCTGGTGTTTGTTTGATGGAGTAGGCCACCTCCCATCTTCTCTGTCCCCTCTCTCTCTCTGTGTTGGTTGAATGGGTAGAGCCCTCAACCAGTGTCTCTGTCCCCCTCTTCTCTCTCGGTTGGTTTGATGGAGTAGATCCACCTCACCAGCTGGGGTCTCTGTCCCTCTCTCTCTGTGTTTGGTTTGATGGAGTAGAGCCACCTCACCAGCTGTCGCTGTCCCCCCTCTCTCTCTGTGTTTTGGTTTTGATGGAGTAAGCACCTCACAGCTGTCCTCTGTCTCTCTCTCTCTCTGTGTTGGTTTGATGTAGTAATCCCCCACCAGCTGTCTCTGTCTCTCTCTCTCTCTCTCTGTGTTGGTTTGATGGAGTAGAGCCACCTCACCAGCTGTCTCTGTCTCTCTCTCTGTGTTGGTTTGATGGAGTAGAGCCACCTCACCAGCTGTCTCTGTCCCCCTCTCTCTCTGTGTTGGTTCGTCATCTCTCTCTCATGATTTCTCTCTAGAGAAATGGCAAGTTGGGCTCACAAAAAAAAAACTGAACTAAATGGATTTCAAGTTATTGAAATTTCGGTTAATCGCTCAGCACTAGTTACTCGTTGCTATGCGTTGGTATATTTAATGTTGTTTAATGTTCGTCCTATGTGTATGTTTAATTTAACCCTGAGAGTTATCCAGCAGATCTGCTCCTCACTAAAACAAGCTAATCATAGTAGGACTGGAATTAAGCTTTCTATTAGAAAAAAAGGTTTATGAAACCAACCTCTCCATCCTTTCAGGTTTAACTATCCCTTTTGGCAGCCTATTCTCTATTCGCTATAGTGCACTACTTTGAGGCGTTAGCCAGACGTGCGCTGTACGGAATAGGTACCATTTCAGTTTAGTAATTTGAATCTCTCCCGCCCTCTCCCCACATAAGTGATGAAGAGATAGCTCGTCCCTGTCAACTGGATCATAGAGAGAAAGAAAGAGAAAAGACAAAGAAGGAAAGAAATGAAATACGAACAACGTAGATAGAGGAGATCGAGCCAAAAGGAAAGAGTAGAAAGAAAGGGAAAAAGAGAGAGAAAAGGGAAAAAGAGAGAGAAGAAGAAAGAAAGAAAGAAAAAGGAAAGACAAAAGAGAACACAGACCTCTCCCTCCCTCCCTTCATCTCTCTCTCCCTCCTGTCCCCCTTCTCTCCTCCCACCTCACTTCCCTACACCCTGCCCTCCATCCCTCCTCCCCCCTCTCCCTCCCTCCCTCATTCTCTTCTCTAGATGCAGTCAGCATGTGGATCATCAGTCCAGAGGAGAGGCTGAAACATGATAAACAGTTTGACTCTCTAACACCTGTCCTGGGATACTTATCAGGTTAGTCTCCATATCACATACCTGACCTGACCTGACCTTAACCGAACTTACCTTACCTTACCGTGTGTGTATCTAACGGGTCCAAGTGTGTGTGTGTGTGTGTGTGTGTGTGATTGTGATAGTGTGTGTGTGTGTGTGTGTGTGTGTGTATCTAACAGGTGTGTGTTGTGTTGTGTAGGTGAACAGGCAAAGACGTTTTTTCTTCAGTCTGGCCTGCCCCCTCCTGTCCTGGCTGAGATCTGGTGAGACAAACACACATCCCTCCTGTCTGGACTCCGGCCCGTCCCCGGGTTAAACCATGTTGTAGTGTGTGTGTGTGTGTGCTGTAATCAGAGCTCTGAACGGAGGATGTGGAATCTGGATCTACACTACAGCATGGTTTATGGAAGCTTTATAACCTCCTCTCTCCTCCCCCCAGGTCCCTAGCTGATATGGGTAGTGACGGGAGGATGGACCAGCTGGAGTTCTCTATCGCCATGAAGCTGATTAAACTGACGCTGCAGGGGCGGGGCCTTCCCCCCTCTCTACCAATCAGCATGAAGCAGCCGCCCACTACCACGCCCACCTCCATTATGACGTCATCAGCACGCTTCGGTAAGACCGGACGGATTGTGACCTCAGTGATCAGGGCATAAAGAGGCTCAGAGTAGCAGCGCTGATATAGGATCAGGGCATAAAGAGGCTCAGAGTAGCAGTGCTGATCTGGGATCAGGGCATAAAGCGGCTCAGAGTAGCAGTGCTGATCTGGGATCAGGGCATAAAGCGGCTCAGAGTACATTACAATTACATTTTAGTCATTTAGCAGATGCTCTTATCCAGTGCATTCATCTTAAGATAGCTAGGTGGGACAACCACACATCTCAGTCATAGTAAGTACATTTTTCCTCAGTAAAGTATCTGATCTAGGGTCAGGTCCCCTCTAGGATCAGCACTACTCTGAGAGGCTTTGGAGAGTCAGTGGAATAATGTCCCTCCCTCCACAGGAATGGGCTCAATGCCAAATCTGTTCGTCGGCATGCCCGTCCTGACCCCGATTCCCCTTGAACCCTCCGTGACCTCCGTGCCCTCCCTGGTTCCCATGACGATGACCCTGCCCCTGGCCAATGGCGACTCCAGCCTCCTCTCCCCCTCCCCAATTGGCACCACTCCAGGTAATACAGGGTACAATAATACCTGCCTACACGGGTGTGGATGGTCTTCAATGTGTGTGAGTGAAATGGCTGCCTACACAGTGCTAAGGCTCGGTTTGGCATTGAGCAAAGGACATAATAGTATATTTTTATTTCTACTTCTTGTACTCAGCCACAAGTTATTTGCTGTATCACACGGTGAAATGTGAAGAGGGTTATGTATGGTGTTATACAGTCCAGTAAAGTAGGCAGGGGTTATGTATGCAGCATGGGTACTGGTTATGCATACACTATGTCTCTTGGGTTGTGTGTGTCTATCTGGGATGTAATCAGACATGATACAGTGGCTTGCAAAAGTATTCACCCCCCCTTGGCATCTTTCCTATTTTGTTGCCTTACAACCTGGAATTAAAATGGATTTTTGGGGGGTTTGTATCATTTGATTTACACAACATGCCTACCACTTTGAAGATGCAAAATATTTATTATTGTGAAACAAACAAGAAATAAGACAAAAAACCAGAAACTTGAGCGTGCATAACTATTCACCCCCCCCCCCCCCCCCCCCCCAAAGTCAATACTTTGTAGAGCCACCTTTTGCAGTAATTACAGCTGCAAGTCTCTTGGGGTATGTCTCTATAAGCTTGGCACATCTAGCCACTGGGATTTTTGCCCATTCTTCAAGGCAAAACTGCTCCAGCTCCTTCAAGTTGGATGGGTTCCGCTGGTGTACAGCAATCTTTAAGTCATACCACAGATTCTCAATTGGATTGAGGTCTTGGCTTTGACTAGGCCATTCCAAGACATTTAAATGTTTCCCCTTAAACCACTCGAGTGTTGCTTTAGCAGTATGCTTAGGGTCATTATCCTACTGGAAGGTGAACCTCCGTCCAAGTCTCAAATCTCTGGAAGACTGAAACAGGTTTCCCTCAAGAATGTCCCTGTATTTAGCGCCATTCATCATTCCTTCAATTCTGAACAGTTTCCCAGTCCCTGCCGATGAAAAACATCCCCACAGCATGATGCTGCCACCACCATGCTTCACTGTGGGGATGGTGTTCTCGGGGTGATGAGAGGTGTTGGGCTTGCGCCAGACATAGCGTTTCCTTGATGGCCAAAAAGCTCAATTTTAGTCTCATCTGACCAGAGTACCTTCTTCCATATGTTTGGGGAGTCTCCCACATGCCTTTTGGCGAACACCAAACGTGTTTGCTTATTTTTTTCTTTAAGCAATGGCTTTTTTCTGGCCACTCTTCCGTAAAGCGTTATATTTGGTCTCTTTATAGCCTCAGATTAATGCCCTCCTTGCCTGGTCTGTGAGTTTTGGTGGGCGGACCTCTCTTGGCAGGTTTGTTGTGGTGCCATATTCTTTCCATTTAAAAAAATAATGGATTTAATGGTGCTCCGTGGGATGTTCAAAGTGTCTGATATTTTTTATAACCCAACCCTGATCTGTACTTCTCCACAACTTTGTCCCTGACCTGTTTGGAGATCTCCGTGGTCTTCATGGTGCCGCTTGCTTGGTGGTGCCCCTTGCTTAGTGGTGTTGCAGACTCTGGGGCCTTTCAGAACAGGTGTATATATACTGAGATCATATGACAGATCATGTGACACTTAGATTGCACACAGGTGGACTTTATTTAACTAATTATCTGACTTCTGAAGGTAATTGGTTGCACCAGATCTTATTTAGGGGCTTCATAGCAAAGGGGTTGAATACATAAGCACGCACCACTTTTCCGTTATTTATTTTTCCGAATTTTTTTGAAACAAGTTATTTTTTAAATTTCACTTCACCAATTTGGACTATTTTGTGTATGTCCATTACATGAAATCCAAATAAAAATCAATTTAAATTACAGGTTGTAATGCAACAAAATAGGAAAAACGCCAAGGGGGATGAATACTTTTGCAAGGCGCTGTATATACCTTCTGCTGGGATGTAATCAGACCAAATCAAATCAAATCGTATTTGCCACATGCGCCGAATACAACAGGTGTAGACATTACAGTGAAATGCTTACTGACAGCCCTTAACCAACAATGCAGTTTTAAGCAAAAACATATAAATGGCAAAATAATTAAAGAGCAGCAGTAAAAATCAAGATAACAGTAGGGAGGCTAGGCATATACGAGGGGTTACCGGGACAGAAAGTCAATGGGGAAATAAACAGTAGGGATGGCTATTATACAGGGGGGGTTACCGGTTACAGGCGTCCAAGGGGAAATAAACCAGTAGGGAGGCTATATACAGGGGGTACGGTACAGAGTCAATGGGAAATTAACAGTAGGTTAGGCTATATACGGGGCTGTTACCGGTACAGAGTCCAATGGGAAATACAGTATAGGGAGGCTATATCACCAAGGGGGGTACTCGTAACAGAGTCAATGGGAAATAACAGTAGGGAGGCTATATACAAGGGGGTACCGATACAGAGTCAATGGGAAATAACAGTAGGGAGGCTATATACAGGGGGTACCGGTACAGAGTCAATGGGAAATAACGTAGGGGGCTATTACAGGGGTAGGCGATATGGGAAATAACAAGGGGTACGGGGTACCGGTACAGAGTCAATGGGAAATAACAGTAGGGAGGCTATATACAGGGGTACCGGTACAGAGTCAATGGGAATAACAGTAGGGAGGCTATATACAGGGGGTACCGGTACAGAGTCAATGGGAAATAACAGAGGGAGGCTATATACAGGGGTGGGAGGGGTGGAGGTCGGTACCGGTACAGAGTCAATGGGAAATAACAGTAGGGAGGCTATATACAGGGGGGGTACCGGTACAGAGTCAATGGGAAATAACAGTAGGGAGGCTATATACAGGGGGGGGGTACGGTACAGAGTCAATGGGAAATAACAGTAGGGAGGCTATATACAGGGGGGTACCGGTACAGAGTCAATGGGAAATAACAGTAGGGAGGCCAATATAACATGGGGGTAACCGGTAAAACAGAGTCAATGTGAAATAACCAGTATGGGGAGGCTATATACAAGGTTGGTACCGGTACAGAGTCCATGGGAAATAACAGTAGGGAGGCTATATACAAGGTGGGTACCGGTACAGAGGTCCAATGTGTAATAACAGTAGGGAGGCTTATTACAAGGGGGTACCGGTAACAGAGTCCAATGGGAAATCACAGTAGGGAGGCTATATACAGGAGGGGTACCGGTACAGAGTCCAATGGGGAAATAACAGTAGGGAGGCTATATACCGGGGGTTACCGGTAGCAGAGTCAATGGTGAAATAACATTATGGGGAGGCGATATACAGGGGGTTCACGGTACAGAGTCAAGGTAAATACAATAGGGTGCCTATATACAGGGGGTACCGGGTACAGGAGGTCCAATGGGAATTAAACAGTAAGGGAGGCTATATACAGGGGGTACCGGTTACAAGAGTCAATGGGAATAACAGTAGGGGAGGCTATATTACAGGGGGGGTACCGGTACAGAGTCCAATGGGAAATAACAGTAGGGAGGCTATATACAGGGGTACCGGTACAGAGTCAATGGGAATAAAGTAGGGAGGTATTACAGGGGGTACCGGTTACAGAGTCAATGGGAAATAACAGTTAGGGAGGCTATATACAGGGGGGGGTACCGGTACAGAGTCAATGGGAAATAACAGTAGGGAGGCTATATACAGGGGGTGTACCGGTACAGAGTCAATGGAAATAACAGTGGGGAGGCTATATACAGGGGGGGGTACCGGTACAGAGTCAATGGGAAAAAACAGTAGGGAGGGCTATATACAGGGGGGGTGCGGTACCGGTACAGAGTCAATGGGAAATAACAGTAGGGAGGCTATATACAGGGGGCGGGGGGGGGGTACCGGTACAGGTCAATGGGAAATAACAGTAGGGAGGCTATATTACAGGGGGGGGGTACCGGTACAGAGTCAATGGGAAAATAACAGTAGGGAGGCTATATACAGGGGGGTACCGGTACAGAGTCAATGGGAAATAACAGTAGGGAGGCTAATATACAGGGGGGGTACCGTACAGAGTCAATGGGAAATAACAGTAGGGAGGCTATATACAGGGGGGGGGGGTACCGGTACAAAGTCAATGGGAAATAACAGTAGGGAGGCTATATACAGGGGGTTTGGGGGGTACCGGTACAGAGTCAATGGTGAAATAACAGTAGGGAGGGCTATATACAGGGGGGGTACCGGTACAGAGTCAATGGGAAATAACAGTAGGGAGGCTATATACAGGGGGGGTACCGGTACAGAGTCAATGTGAAATAACAGTAGGGAGGCTATATACAGGGGGGTACCGGTACAGAGTCAATGGGAAATAACAAGTAGAGAGGCTATATACAGGGGGGGTACCGGTACAGAGTCAATGGGAAACTAACAGAAGGGAGGCTATATACAGGGGGGAGGGTAAGGTACGGTACAGAGTCAATGGGAAATAACAGTAGGGAGGCTATATACAGGGGTGGGTCGGGGTACAGAGCAATGGGAAATAAAGTAGGGAGGCTATATACAGGGGGGGGTACCGGTACAGAGTCAATGGAAATAACAGTAGGGAGGCTATATACAGGGGGAGGGTGGTACCGGTACAGAGTCAATGGGAAATAACAGTAGGGAGGCTATATACAGGGGGGTTACCGGTACAGAGTCCATGGGAATTAACAGTAGGGAGGCTATATACAGGGGGGGTGGGGGTACCGGTACAGAGTCAATGGGAAATAAACAGTAGGGAGGCTTATAATACAGGGGGTACCGGTACAGAGTCAATGGGAAAAACAGTAGGGGCATTATAAGGGGGTGGTACCGGTACAGAGTCAATGGGAAATAACAGTAGGGAGGCTATATACAGGG